TTCTCCTTCGTTTTGTCGTCTCTCCTTTTTGTCTTGTTCTTTAATATTATCGATGCTATTTCCATAGTGTATGGACAGATATAAAGAAGTCAATACCAGATAAGACTCATACATGTGCCTGCGTAGACGGGATGCAACGGCAATGCACATGTGCCTCCTTTTGTCTGAATGTATGTAATCGTCTGATCACTCTTGTTTTTTCCCTTGTTTCTGTTTAAACTGAGAGTTTTCCACAACGCAGAGACCCCTACAGCATACTTGTAACGCATGTGTGAAGTATTCTAAATACCCTGAATATGGTCCGCGCGGGGTTCGAAATATACTACCCAAGGGAAAGACCGTGGTCTGTCTGGGAGGAACACGACATCATCGGGTGCAGCCGGTGCTAAACGTGGTTCCTGAGCTCATATATCTGGCCTTGCCCTATTGCAGGCTACTCCCGGCGATGCTGGAGCCGGTGCTGCGGGAGACGTTTCTCCCTTATTCTTCTGGTCAGCCTTGTTCTGTTCTTTATTGTCTTTCGTGTTCCCGGTAGTGGACACCTCTTGCTTGGTGCCCTTCTTCGGCGCTGCAGTAAAGAAGGAGAGGAACATGAAAAAATGATAAAAAAAAAAGGGACACAAGTGGTACAAAGAAGGGGCGGACGGTGTGGTGTGGTACGGTCGGGTCGACTCGGTGGACTGCGTACGCCGTGAACTGGGCTAGATGGTAGTAGTACACTTGTATATTTCGCCGTCATCTCGCAGCCGCGACGGCACACACACACCCCGTCTACATAGTGGCCGCCGCTACCGCTATGGATATCGCTACCGTCGTGGCCGTTGTGCTCAACGTCAACGAAGGGGTGCCGCTCAACGTCAACGAGGGGGTTGCTTTTCCGTGCTGTGCTGTTCTCGCCGCGTATGCGTGTTGTTGTTGGCGGCGACGTCCATGTTCGGCAGTATGCGGCCGCGTATTCGTGTGCGGCCGTACGCGTATTTGGCCGTGTGCGGGGCATATTCGTGCTTTGTCCCCAGCGCTACTTACCTGTCGGTGCCGTTGATGGTCTATTCTCCGCCCCTGAGGCGACGGCTGCCTGTGCATCAGCATTCTTCTTTATCTGAGCGTCTAATGCGACTTTCACGTGCCCGATGGCTTGGTTCATTACGCCCTCGATTTCTTCATCCTTTTTTTCGTCTTCGTCGTCCACAGCAGGGTACTTCGGTGCTCTCGCAGTTGACCCCCTCAATTGTTTCTCCTCGTTCTTCATCTCTTCCTCCACTTCTTGCAAAATTTTTGTGACCTTCTGCTTTACTTCATCTTTCGTTTGGTTGTCTTTGTCCTTTTGCTGTTCCTGCTCTCTCGGTCCGACCTCTAGCTTTACCTGTGCTCCCTTACAGTCATCGCCTATTTGTTCCTGTGCAAGTTGCTCCTGCATCTGTTTGTTCTCTTTTAACCATGTCTTCATCTTATTCCTCATGTCCCAAGTGTGCAATTCTATATCCTTGTACTTCCCCTTGTTACAATTCTGTTTTCCTAATCGACTTTCTAACGCACTTCTCATTATTTGTGTTGTGTACCATGCATAATAGGTGCCCCACCAACCCTCGCATCCATAAATCCATAGTATGTCTTTATATACGTCCACTATGGTGCATCTCATTAACCCCTTAATCTCCTCATCTTGCCCTTTGTTCTCTTTTGCGTTTTCCCTTACTGCTTCACTCCACGCATTCGCAAAATATATCGCTTGCGTCATGAGTCTGCATATAACTCTCTCTTGGCGCCTGGTCATCTCCCGTGGTCGGCGGTCTTTCTGGCCGTCCTCTATTGGATGCTGCCAGTATGCATTACCGCAGTTAATAGCATTGTCGTACTGACTGTCATCGTTCATATGCCTAATAAAAAGCTCCAGTTGGTATTGCATATCGTCCCATAACTTACTCTGCGTTTAACACAATGCACATATATGTATGTGGTCGCACAGTATTATTCACCAACCGTGGCAATCATCTAATTATATTTGTCCCTTCCTGCCTGTTACATGTAAATTTGCCGTATGCGGTACATATGAAGCACGCACATGTGCGACATTCTGCTGCGCTGTAGTATGCTGCTCTTATGCACACATATGTGCTGCCTTGTGCACACCGCCGCACGCGGCCTGTATGTATAGGAAATTACCTGAAAATCCCCAGTATGCTCCGTTAGTTTCCTAGGCACCGCATACCCCCTCAATATACGCGCTAACTGGTTCGCCATTGTTGTCGCATCATAACAACATAGAAAAGATCATTGCTTTCAGAATCCGTATACTGTTCTGCATGTCGGGCGCTAGTGCAGTACTCACAATGTCTACGTATCCAATGTAATCCTGTATAGCCACTACACATGAAAATTCGTCCTAAGGGAACTCCAGCATCCACGTTAGGAGACGGGGGTATGTATCACAAAAATCATATAATCTATGGCGACATGTGCACGCCTTATTCGTACATTCAGAATAAGGAACACTAAAAACAAAAATAATAAATACGAGTAAAAAGAAGAACAAAAATAAGATAGAAATAAATGACATAAAAAAAAAAAAAAGAAACAATTGCAGGACACACATCATACCTGTACAAATGCATAACAGCATGCTCTACACAATAGTCAGAAGACGCGCTCGCTTCCACAGATGAACAATCTCCCCAAGCAAAGTACCAAAAAGGAAAAAAGAAAAGAAAGGAAAAAATAGGAACAAGTACTACTACTACTACCGTACACACACAACACGCTTCATGAATACACCCCCTCCCCCCTTTCTACACCGGTCGGCACTAAACGCCGTCACACACACTGTGTCTCTCTGTGTGCGTACACAACCAAACCGCCGTAACAACATCAATTTCTTCTGCCGTCGTTGCTGCCTTGCTTCCGTCGTTGCCGCCTTGCTGCCGTCTTGCTTGCTCCCGCACAAAACATGTTTTCCGTCCTGCGCCCACCCTCTGGATGCGTCCGAGGCTACTTCCGCGGATCGTTCACTCAAAGCAATTACTCTGAGACAATCTCTCCTCCGTTCTTACACTCGGCTACTTCCTCGGACAATCCCGTTTACACGGACAATCCCGTTTACCCGGGCCGCGTTTGCTCGGAGAGACAATCTGCGCCCTCGTACACTCGGCTACTTCGTCGAATCCGTGTTGCACTCGGCGCATTGCGCGCACAATCGCCTTTACCCGGCCGCGTGCGTCAACGCTTCTGAAAATTGTAATAAATACACAAACTAATACTTGGTTGTCTTCCTTCCGCTGTGCGCGGTGTTCCTGGTGTCAAACACAGGGGGGGGGGAAAAGTACACTACACTACCGTACGCACACAACGCGTCATGAACATACACCCCCCCTCTCCCCCTTCTACACTAAGCGCCTTCACACATTGTCTCTCTGTGCGTACACTAAACCCCTTGTACACTAAACCGCAGTATAACAACAACATCCATGCTTGTTCCGCCGTTGTTGCCGTCGTTGCAGATCCTTGTGTGCTCCCGCACATAATATGTGTGTTCCTTCTCCTCCGCCCCCGTACTCTCTGCTCCCTCTCTGGATTCGTACTCGCCTATTGCGTCGAATCGTTCCGACACTCAGCCGCGTGTGCTCGGCGACACGATCTGCTGCTTGTTACACTTGGCCACGTTGGTCGACGCGTTGTGCTCGGAGAGACCATCTCTCCTCCTTCTTACGCGCGGCTGCGTTGCAGCAGAATAGCAGCAATTCCAGACCAGGAAGCGTAGACTGCACAACGCCACACAGACAATGGGCAAAAGAAGAAAAGCAATGTGGGAGCAGTGCGTAGAACGTACGAGCGGCAAATCAACGAACATGGCACGAACAGTAGGCACGAGTAGTGTTGATGAGCGATGTTGCATGCAGAAAAGAACAAAGAAAAAAAGGCGCTAATTACTAAAACTCATAACGTCGGTAACTGTGAAAACTTGCGCCCTTTAATCTGACCATTAAACACGTAGATTTGTGAGGATTAAACTCTACAACCTTGAACTGTGAGACCATACATCCTACATCGTAGATGATAAATCCTAGATCGTACAACCCAGATCCAAGAACCTACATCCTAAACCATGAACCCTAAACACGAAGCTATAAACCGTAAACCTGTGAGATCCTCGCCCTTTTACAGCATATCAAAAGATAAGGTGTACAATCGTTTCATTTGGCGATGTGGAAGTTTATAAGAAGAAGACAGGAAGCATAAATACAGAACAAAAGAGGAAAAAGGAAAAAACACAGATTCACATGGACATACTCATAGGATGAACACCTAGTACATAATTACAGCATACTCAAGAACAATAAAATAAATAATAATAACAGAGCAGTTCATAACATTTAACAACGCAAATAAAGGCAACTTCCATTATTGTGAGAAACACATTCTTCCATATTGTCGCCGCGGGGGTCTGTTGCATTTTGAGGTGCTTTTGAAAAATAAACATTTGGTGGAACATTGCTACTCTGCACAAATAGGCAAACACAAAGGGGCAGTAGTCATCAGGGCAGCATCATGTGAAATTAAATAAGGATGGTGCGAAAATAGACAATGGACATGGCTGTAATGGATCAGAGCAGACGACAGACCAAATTAAAAACGAACGGCGCTTTAGCATAATAATTATTAATCACATGCACACAAATAAAAGCATTAAAATCATAAATAAAATGCACATTTAGTCCCGTGGTGGGGGAGGAAGAGATATTTATATAGCTCGACAGGAGGAAATATTGTTAACTGTAGGTAACGCAAAAGTGCATAGTTCGAGTACGACGAAAACACCAGCGTAAATGTATGCTTATCTGTGGATACATTCTCTTTTACACCTATATGAGGGGTTTCTGATCCACATGTTTTTGTTTTTTTGGGAAACATCGCATGTGATTCTCTGAATTTGTGCGATCGGCGGCAATATCCTTAATGGCTGTTAATGATCTTATATATCCTTTTCATAATGGCTCTATCGGTATGTTTACTTGAGCGTCTTACTTTGTTTAATTTGGTTACGGTGTACAATAAAAGGAAACCATATCAACCACAAAAGCAGAGCAATGGCAATAAATGGCAGTACATAGGTCGTGACGACAAATGGCAGAGCGATAATTAATACATAGAACCAAGGTCATACATGAACAAGCACGGTGTACATTATAGAGAACGAGCTCGTTTTTATAAGGGATGTTAGCAGTAAAGGAGAAAGTATTCCGAATACACCAAACGGAGCAAACATTCTATGCTTGCTCAGTAAATTAAAAAATTCTCTCGTCCCCTTTACTTCTCTGACTGAGTAATTGTGCTTTTCATACGCCTGCATGTTCATGTAACGTGTTATTTCTGACTCGAATTTGGAATCTAATTTTCTGCACTTTCTACCCACAGAGGTGTTCTCAAAAAAACCTCGACTAGGACTGGCAGAAAATTTATTCTTCTGTTGCAATTTATCTATGTAATAGCAAACTGCGTCATCTACATCCAATCCTGCTGTAGTAGAAAGTCTTTTATCCTTATTATGATATTCTGATGATTCAACCATTCTGTTGTTTTCTTCGAGATTATCATCATCTCGTTTTTCGAACAGACTGCCGGTGCTGTCAAAGGTCCTGGATTCTGTAATTTCCTGGCTTCTGTTAGAATCATCGTTATTGGCTCCTTCCTGGAATATACTCTCCATGCTGTCAGCATTTGCAGATTTATGCACTTTGTCCTTATTATTAAAAATATCATCGGCTCCGTTCTCGAATATACTATCCATGCTGTCAAAGAGCATGGACGAGCTAAAGCCCTGATCAACGTCGTTACCATGATTACTGCGACCTTCAAGCACACTCTCCATGCTACTGAACCTCATGGATCCTCCAAACTTTACCGTGCCTTCATCCTCATCAAAATTATTCAAGTTTGATGATTCGTTGGATGTGTCCACGTTACCACGATCCATCGTACTTTTCGACTTCTTCCTTGAACTGGCGCGTGGACTACTCCTTCTAGATCGTGAGTCAGAGCTATCATTATATTTTGTTACATCGGAACGGTCCTGCAGGTAGGTTTCGTCATTTTCATCCACTGAACCGATGCACTGTTGCCTGAACAGACTATTATTCTGTTGTAGTAGTGTTTCTACATTGGTTTCACCCATTAATAATCTGCTAATCCGCACCACTAAGGTGTTATTCGGGCCAGTTGAATGATTCCATGGTGTGCCTAGTTCATTTACCGAACATATATAAATGGGGATACATTCAGAATTTGTGCATGATGCATTTATCGGGGTACAGTGAAGTAATGAAAAGTTTTTAATTTTTAACAACACGCAAAAAAGCAGGTGATCATAATGAAGACACAAATTTGGACAATGCCTTATTTATTATAGTACGTTGTGGGCATGTTGCCAGGAGTACAAACTGCAGCTGCATATGGAAAATTTCACAGGGATCATCATTTTGTTCTTTGTTTCTTTAGCTTGAACGAGGTTCCATGTACCTATATATCCTTTCCTGTTTTTTTTATATATGGTTGTGTTATAGGAATATGCCTTTGTTCTTACATTTTTATATGGATTATATGATTATACTTTTCTGTTAATATATATATGTATTATACAATTCTATTTTCTTTCTTTTTTTTTTTGGTGTTTCTTGAAATCATTATTATATACGCAAGGATTGTACGATTGCTTCTTTTTTGTTTTTTTTTTTTTTTGTATGCATGAGTGCATTATGTTATTTTCTCTCTTTTTCTTTTCTTATATATATGTATTGATTTTTATAGGATCTTTATACCCTGAACGATCTATTCATTTGAAACGGGAGGATCCTAGTTAATCCATCGGTGTATATACGGTATTCTTGTTTTTGTGTTACAAGTGCCTATATATATATTATTTGAAAGAAAAAATTAATATAAATACGAATACATATAAAATAAATATGGTAATGTCGGGCATAATATAAAAGAAATGATCTTATTACATATTATATCAAGTAAAAACGAATTAGGTGCTGTGTGGGTTTGTGGACATATGGTAGGCACTGTTACATGATGGTGCAATTCATACAATCGAATGTATCAGCATATTATTTATTTTGAAATATGGGAACAACCATTTATGAACTATAGCACTTTATTGTTTTAATTTGAATATTATCATGGAAGTGGATGAAAGTAGATAGATCATTTGTATAAAAGTATGGCGGAATTTTGTTCGAAGTTGAAAGAGCTTTTTAGGTTTAAATATTCTTTTCTGTTCAACATGATAGGGTATTTTATTTAAAATATTTTAATAATGTGTTCATCATATATCAGGTAGAAATCTGTAGGCCCTTCAGAGGGTAAAAAATAATATTGTAGCAAAGGGTAATGTGTAACGAGCACGAGTGCAACAAAAGTTGTAATGGTAGAAAATAATAATATGGAATCTGGTAATATATAGAGATGGTTACATTGATTTGTTAAATGAATGCACATGACTACAGCGCGTGCTTGACGTGACTGACGTAGCAAGTGTTTTACAGAATTGAAGTACCTTTGTGGTTTTCCATTGTAGTCCTTGGGTATATATATGGGCTTATGTAATATCTCAGGATGTATGTATGAGGAACTGCAAAGATGTGTCTGTTGTAAGACAATTTTTCCTCTTTTTCTATTTGCCATAAGAATACATGGCATGCGATACATGTTGGTACGAAGAACCTGTGGGCACTGAGAATCAAGGCATAGTAGGACCAGTTAGATCCATTAGAAAAAGTTAATTTTGCAGGGAAACCTACGATACATGTCACGATGACTTACGTCATAGTCACATCTACTACGACAGCGTTTGGCATGAGAACAGCGTATACGCCTCGGCTTGCTGTTCTCAAATATGTTGGAGCATATTATCCACCTCTAATGCCCATATATCCATAAATTCGTAAACTGGTCGCTCATACCTGTGCCCGCTTCACACTCGTGTACACATTGGCCGGTTTACTGCACACTCATGGTCATCAGCGAGCCGCTCCCTTTCTGTGGGCAATTGTGCGTTTCGCCGAGCGAAGCTGTTCTATGTGCTTTTTTGCTGTTGTGCCCCCGCGTGATTCCCATGTTTCAGGCGAGGGGCCATGCATGCGGCGCGCGCCCTGGTAACACGGGCCGCGCATGGGGACCATTCATGATGATGCATGACCTAGTACTGGTTGCGCGCGTGTGCCAGCCGTAGTATGCATACGGACGGTGCATACCACGCTTGGGCCTGCGTGTCCTGTGCGCATGATGTCATGCTGTATATCTGCTATGTGTGCACTGTACGCGCATCGCACTATATTGTGCCTGCGCTGGTGTTGTCTGCGTCGTGGTTGTGTTTCGCCGGTTGGCTGCTGCTGCACGCTTGTGCTCATGCCACTTACATTATGCGCAAGGCGGCCTCGTGTTCCAGGCTCATGGTTCTATAGTGCGCGCGCGCTGCTGACAGTACTGTCTCGCGCGCCGCGAGCACCTGCTGCGACGCTGCTACAGTCTGCGCATAGTCCTGGCGCGTGGCGCACGTGTTCGGCTCATTTTCGTGCATCGTATGTATCCGCCTGCCGTGCGCATCGGATACCAGCCGCGCGCCGCGTTCACGCCGCATGCCGCGAAGTTCTGGGCGCTCTGCCGCGCCCAGTGCACTGCGCGCCTCACGTGCTCGTGCACTGCTGTTGCCTGCTGCGTATTGTACCTGACGCTTTTGGTGAGTCCCTCTATTTTGCTGCACCCGGTGCTGTCATCTTTCTGTGCGTCACGCCGTTGGCACCGTGTCCGTCGTGGATGCCATGCCATGCACTGTCGTTCTATTCGTCTTCTGCTGCGCTTCTTGAGCACCGCGTTTCAAGCCCTACGGCTTCCCACGTGCGCGGGACTTTCCTGTTCACGCTCGGTTCTTGCCAGCTGCTCGTGCTTCACGCACCTTGCACTGCATGGCCGCCGTGTTTCGCACTTGTTCGAGCATCCTCTCCCATCGCACCTCCTTTTTTCCCCTTGGTCGGTTGGTCATGCCCGAGTCCTGTGCTTGCGCTGTTTGCTGCTTTACGTGTCGCCGTTTGTACTTGTGTATGTTTTTGTGCACTCCTGTTCACGCAGTCACGCGCGCGTTCTGCTGCGTCTGTTGCTCTTCTTCGCCACCGTGTCTCGTTCTGATATGCGCTGGTCCATGGCCCTTTGTCCATTGCATCGCCCACTCGCGCGTAGCCTTCACGCTTTTTCCATATGCCACTGCATCCACTTGCGTCCTTCTGTGTGCTGTACCTTCCGATTCTATGCCTGTCACGCGACTCCACTTTTTGTTGTTTTGTTTTTTTTCCTCTCATCACCCTCCAGCTGCCGCTGTTCCCTTTTTGGGTGCTTTTGTTGTTTTCTTTTTTGTGCACCTACCTTTCTGCCTTTTACTTTTTTACTTCGGTTTTCCATTTGCGATTATATCCTTCGCTCTTTTTTCTTCTGGCCAACATGTTCATATTTCCTGTTGTTCCCCTTTCTTTTATTTTATTTTATTTTTTTTTTTTCTCCTTTTTTCTCTTGTTTTTCTTTTTTCCTGTTTTCCTTTTTTTATTGTATTTTATTTTTTTTGGGGTTTATTTTTCTCCTTTTTTCTCCTTTTTTCTCCTTTTTTTCTCTTTTTCCTTTTTTTTTTCATTTCCCCCCTTTTCCTCCTTTCTTTGCTATCCTTCTACTGCATCCCTTTTTCATTCCCTTTTCCTGCATGCTTCATTTGCGCATTGCTCTTGCGCCCTCTTCGCCTTTTTCATATGCACTTCCTGCAAGCTGTTGGTCCGCAGCGCCCTTTTGTTCACTGTTGTCACGTATCCTTACCGTTGCATGCCATTCTACGCTTTTTTCGCGATTTCAATTCGTGCATCGTACGGCTCTTTGGGTTTGTTGTTTTTTTGTTTTTTTGGCATTCTATGCCTCATCTGCCGCGCTCTTCGCATTTTTTATGCTTATGTTCTTTCTGCTTTTGCATTCGCTTCCAGCCTGTTGTTCGTTCCACGCGCTTATTCTATTGAATGCATCTTGGACCTGCGCGAGCATCCATATTTTTTGTTCCAATACCTCTCATACTATTTGTCATCTTGCGCGTCCACGCCATTGCGTTCGTTCATGGTGTTGTGTTTGCATGCTTGCTGCATATGCCCTCCGCACGCAAACCATCTTTTATTTTCCACTACGTCCCATACTATTTGTCATCTTTGGCGTCCACGCTATTGCTTCCCTTCATAGTTTTGCGTTTGCATGCTTGCTGCATATGGCCTACGCGCACACCATCCGTCTGAGTGCATCGCGTATTCGACCTCGCAGCCGCTCACACCCGCCGAACAACGCGGCCGACTAAGCACGGCTCTTGCGATCACACGTGGCCGCGTACCTACCCCAGTAACACGGATTCGACGACGTAGCCGCGTGTAAGAAACGAGGAGAGCTTGTCTCTCCGAGCAACGCGATCGGGTACACGGATCGGTCCGCGTGAAGCAGTTCGACGAAGCAACCGAGTGTACGACGGCAGAGGAAATTGATGTTGTTGTTACGGCGGTTTTTAGGTGTACAAGGGGTTTAGGTGTACGCACACAGAGAGACAGTGTGTGTGACAGGCGTTTAGTGGAGAACGGGTGTTGTTTTTACTGCGGTTTTTAGGTGTACGCAGAGACAACGTGTGTGACAGGCGTTTAGTAGAGACTGGTGTACAAAGGGCGAGGGGGTGTTGTATTCATGACGCGTTGCGTGCGTACGGTAGTGCAGTAGTACCTTTTTTTTGCTTTTCTTCCTTTTTTGTTGTTTTTTTTTTATGCTTTTTCTGATTTTATCGTTCAATTTTGCTGTTTTCTTTGTGTGCATTCTATTCTTTTGTGGTGCATGAAGTACAGCAGGAGCTTCGGAAGTATTAGAAGTAAAGAAGTCTAGGGAATGTTTGAGGACATGTATTTATTGTCAACATTCTAGATTTACACTCGACGCACGACATACATGTGTGCGGCGAGATACATTAATGTTGGGACCATAGTCATATTAAGTTATTATAGTATTACTGGCAACATAAAATAATATTATACACAGTGAGTATAATATGGATAAGGATAAAATACTGAGCGAATGGAAGAGATATAGGGCCCAAGGCCATCCACATGACGTGTGGACTGATTACCGGGTAAGCTATTGAGAACTACAGGGAGCACGGAGACGAGATTTGTGGACACTAGCAGCGACCGATGCAGGATGCCGAATATACGTGAATCGCACTTATGCATCACACTTGTACGTTTTTAATTTAAGTACAGTGCGCAAGCAGCATTCATACAGTAACAGGGAAGAATACTTCAGTGTAGGTACAGGGAACCAGGACGAACACAACGCTGCGCACGACATGTACATAAGAATGTATGTGCATTATTTGAACTGCAGACATGGCTGTGGGACGAGATAAACCCGATATTACAAAAGTTTATTGAATATGTCGAGAACCAGGACAACTGGGAAGACTACGGTAGCAACTGCAATAACCATTTTTATTACCATAGTGGAACAGGGTATGCGCACCTCGTTAGGTGGCCAGGTACCAAGGTTATGTGCAAGATTATGTCAACAGCATTATTCTTCCTAACCGACACCCATGGGTTACAGGAATTTATGCAAGGGGAACATGAGGCAGTAAAAAAGTTAAAAGAATTTATAGGGTGCACAATTGTAAATGTGTTTATGCATATACTGGAGCACACAGTATGTGAGGGACACTGGGGGCTACAGTACGCCTGGTACGTCATGAGGGAGAAGATGCAAGGAATACCGCCAAACATTATAACAGAGAAGAAATGTGTCCAAGGCTTAGTACAAGATACGCACCTGGGGCAATGGAGTATGAAGGCAAAAATTAAGGACTGGATACAGCAGAACACGCAGTTAAGTGCTTGGGTGCAGGATACAGCAATTAAAAGGATGTGCTCAACTGCACAAGAAAAAAGTAAAGAGGCGGGGAGAAAAGGGACGGAAGAAGGTACATGGCGCGTGGGGGCGGACAATACAGATAATTATGGAGAACAGGAAGTAAGGGAAAAACTGGAGACAGGAATAAAACACGTCATAGGAAGCGGCATGCACGACATAATGCAAAAGATGGGTGCACAGTTGGACGCAGGAAGCAAGCCAACGAAGACTGGACAACCGGGTACAGGAGCAGGGACGTCAGGATCCGGGACAAACGCAGCTGGAGGAACCCATGCGCCAACCACGAAACCAGGAGCAGCACAACAGGACAGCAATAAGGACACAAGAAGTGCTGACGACAACACGCATGGTAAGCATACACATATACATACACATAGAAGCCGGTATATCCATAACACGGAATACACATACGGCCGCATACGGGATCATACTGCCGCATAGTGCGCATGCCGCCAACAACAATGCACACGCGGGGGGGAACAGGACCCCCTCGTTGAGCGATGAGCACAGCGGCGGCCACGACGGCAGCGGTAGCGGCGATGGCAACAACAACATAAGTGTACTACTACCATACCATGTCACCGTACGCGTGCTGCCGCCTCATCCAGTTCACGGAGTACGGAATCCACGGAGTCCATCTCGATCCAACGCATCGACCCATGCATCGACACACTCTATCGAGCCGGACCCCCACCCTGCCGCTAGCTGACCACACCATCCCGGCCCCTTCATTCTGTACCACTTGTGTGCTATTTTTTGTTTATCATCTGTTTACCATCTTCCTGCCATTCTCCTTTTTGCAGAAAACAAGAGCAAGGACACGGACACGCCGGGTGGACCCCCCGCCGCTGCCGCAGCGCAGCCGGCGGCGGCGACGCCGGCAACCACACACCCGGTAACAGCGGGAGCAGGAGACCAGAAAGGGGCGAGGCCCTCGGCACCATCAGCAGAAGGCACATCAGCGACAGGGGACGATGGAACACAGAACAAGACGCTGAGGGATATCCCCCAGGACAGTTCAGGTAAGGAGATTGTATCTGTGAACACGTCAACATGTGGGCCAACGACTCACACTGATCATAAACAAGCAGGGGAAGCCGATATCCGCGTCACAGTTAGTTTCGGACCATCCTCCTCAGCTGAATGTAAAGGTAACGGGCATACTCCTTCTAAGGCCTCCACTGTATAGAGTACTACGCACCGTCGTCTGCGCACCCGGCCCACAGAATAATACAGGGATCCATGTCCCACAGTAGGGCACAGGAGTAAACACAACACAAACAACAATTTCCGGAGAGACACCACGGAGAGCGCAACAACGGAAAGCGAGAAACCAAACGTCGAATGAGAGTGAGCGGCAGAGCGCTCGGCCGAGCAACGAGTCGGCCGCGGGATGTAGACGTCGACACACGGACACTGTCTGTGTGTTGTGTGTTGTGTTGTGTAGTTGGACAGAGAGAGAGTCTTTTCCCGGGGTGGCACCGTCCCCAGTTCATGAACCATCGTACCAACCGTGTGGTCAACCATAACGTTCCACCGCACACAAAACTTAAGTTTCATCACATCCCCTACTGCTTCATTTGACATTATAGGTAAGGATGGTGCAAATGGTCCAGGCTCGTCAGGATCCCCATCTGCACCTGCAGAGGCAGCACCGAAAGCATCAGACCCAGCAGCATCGGACCCAACATCACCATCAACAGGACCAGAAACAAAATCAACAGGAACAGGAGGGTACGGTAACACGAGTGCCAAGAACGATGACGACTCCGGGGACGCCGTCGTCGCTGGCGGCAACGATGACCCCCCTCCTCTCAATCCACCCAAACCAAAACCGAACCCGAACCCAAATCAATCGGGCAGTAGTGGCGGCTTCAGTGACTCAGGTAGTTCCGCAGGAGGTGGTGGAGCACCTGGCAGTGGCGGCGGTGGGGGAGGAAGTGAAAGTGCTCAGAAAGATGCTTCCTCGAACTCAAATTCAGGTTCCAGCAGTAGCGCCTCTGTCCTATTAATAGATGTTCCTCGATATGCAGACGGTACGGGAGGACACTTCGGAACAGGACCAACACCCGATCCACATGATACAAGTTCCAGTACACCTAAGGAAGGCGGCCCTCTTGCCCCCGACCTAACCGACACGGTGCTTACCGCCACTACTCCCGTACTCTTCTTCCTGTCCGCCGTCACCGTCGCCCTTCTTGGTTATTCCCTTTGGACGGTAAGTATATACGACAATGCGCGCATGCCGCATGTGCAAGATGTTTATACCTCAGAACATCCCAACCGGCTCCCATATATGATCGTTCTAATCAATATACTCCTACACCCGCGTTCATTCCTTTTTTCCTACCGTCCTCACCCTCCTCTTGACCCCCTGTTTCTTTGCTTAGTACTTTGCGCACCTCGGAAAACAACGACGACGAACATATCGAACCGTTCGTGACGTGCCGTCACCGCCACTCGACGCAGAAATATTGGCGCATCTACAACGCGGCGAACTGCCGCCACCCGATTACGGGTACACGATGATTCGGGATAGGCAACCCGGCAGATTGCCCGCCCGACGACGACGTCATCCACGCGTGCATAAGCGCACGATTATCGAACTACATCTAGAAGTGCTACACGAATGTGAAGCGACCGAGTGGGAAAACGTCAAAGACGACTATTGGCAGATACTTGTGGAGCAGTTTGCACAGGAGTTGATGCGGGATGCAAACGAGTATAGTAGTTCCCCGGCTTCTTCGTCGAATCACGATTCACCAGGTACCAATGTTTCCTCCATGCTCGATCCACCCACTGACAGCAACCGCATACATCCATGTCCACCACATGACCCCGATCCATGCAGTTGTGTGGACACCATGCACTTAGCCACGGACCCTTGTACACCGAATGAAGAGGACCCCGATCCATGGAGTTGTATGGAAACCATACAGTTAGCAATGGACACTTCTCCACCGAATGACCCAGATCCATGGGGTTGCATGGAAACCATACAGTTAGAAACGGACCCTTCTGCTTCTAACGAAGAGGACCGATGGAATTGTATGGAAAACATACAGTTAGCACCGGACCCTTGTCCACCTAACGAAGAGGACCCCGATCCATGGAGTTGTATGGAAACTATACAGTTACCAACGGACCGTTCTCCACCTAACGCAGAGCACCGATGGAAGTGTATGGAAAATATCGACTTAGATGCACAACAGCATGCTCATTCCAACCCCGCGCACGCGACGTCGTACTGTATCCATTGGATTAACTGGATTGATCGCCACAAATACCTATTGCAGGACTGCACGACGCAGCCGTGGTTTCTGCAATTGAAATCGGAATGGAAACAATACCTGCGCGAGCACATGGTGGCAAACGGAGCATCCGGTGAGCACACGACGGCCGCAACCATGGAAACGCAGAAATTGGACCTGTGGAAAGAATGGGTCGCACATCAACATGCGCTTATGCATATATATGGTGAGGAGCCGTGGTTCCAACATTTGTTGAATAATGTAGAGGAGGAGACAGTACCGGAAAAAGGCGCTACAGCTGTAGTCGACAAAGACTTAGAAGTGGAAAAAGTAATGGGCACAGAGGATGTGCTACAAGTCAGAGATGCACCATGCACGCAACTGCATCAGCCCCCTCACATGAAAAAAGTGTTAACCGCCCTCAAATTGTGGATGCTCCTTCTCGCGTCCGTTATAGAACAGTGCGAGCGCGAATGTCGTTTGCAAGAGAAGGAGTTATATGTAGATGACCTATTGGAGAAGCTCTGACATTCGGATGACGGCGCTCATGCATGGGAAATAACGCATGCTACCCGTACACCACTTTTATTTCATTATGTGATATACATCATATATTTCTTGTTTGCACTATTACATACCTTCTTTTTTTTTTCTGCTCTCTTCTGCTTGTGCTTGCTTTTGTTTTTTTTTGTTTCTTTTTCTGTGTAGTCAACTTTTAACATGACCATAGGAACAGGGTCCGTACCGCTCACATGCATATAACATGTACATTTAAATGAATAATATGAAGGGGTAGTCTTCTCCTTTATGGGACATTAATTATTAAAAGATGCGCACGTGGATTCTACGCGCATAGTGCAGAACACACATAGCATGCGAATACGCATTCGAGTATAAGGAGATTGTCTCCGAGCGCCACAGGCCGCGTGTAAGAAGGAGGAGCATTGTCTCTACGAGCAAACGCGTCGACCAAAGCGGCCGAGTGTAAGCAGGAGGAGTGATTGTCTCTCCGAGCAAACGTGGGCGGTCCGAGTGAAGCGATTCGACAAAGTGGCCGCGTGTAAGAAGGAGGAGAGATTGTCTCTCCGAGTGCGGATCAATAGAGGGAGCCGCGAGAGGCGGGGCAGCGCACTAACAAGGACGCGGCGCGTAGGGCAAATTCATGTTGTTGTTATACTGCGGTTTTTAGTGTACACGGTTTTTAGGTGTACGCACATAGAGACAGTGTGTGTGACAGGCGTTTAGTGGAGACCGCTGTAGAAACGGGGCAAGGCGGGTGTTATTCATGACGCGTGTTGTGTGTACGTAGTAGTAGTAGTTTTTTTGTTTCATTTTTCTCTTCATTTTTGTACTCCTTTTTTATTCTGTGCATATTATTCTCTCCTAAACCATATCAGAATAGTTCATACAGCTCTGGACCGTGCAATTCTGTATTGTGCATTTGCCTTATGTAAATTATATGTGTGATCGGCTTCCCCTCACTTATAGAGTAGTAAGAATATTAATGAGCCCGACGTGTGTATAGCATCTGGGCGGAATATTAATAATGTGCATAGTATTCACAGGGAGCATTAATATCCTGTATTATGGCACGTAATGCACCATGGCAGGGCACTTAGTAGATGTACTGGTCCCCTGGGCACGCGCAAGGGGACTATGGGGACAGGAACAGCTTGATGTAAGTATTACCTCAGAACAAGGGATTGCACGACACAGCGAAGAAGCGCGGCGCAAAATAGTGTTGGTACATATATATGCGCTAACACATACGGCACGGAAGGTAGAGTCCTATAAAGTTCATATGTTGTTATACATTAATCATTTTCTCTATGTATATATTTCGTAGAAGGCACTATGGGCAGATATGGAAACCGTGTTGAATGATTTTGTGCCTTACATGGAAAAAATAGAAGAGCACATAGATTCGTATGCTACAAGCTGCGGGGATGAAGGTTGGGAACGTAGAGGACACCCGCATAAGGGACACTTGTACAAAGATCATTCAGTTGGGGATGTAATGAAATGCAGACTGATGGTTGGAGCATTATATTTTGTAACTGGGTGGAAATCCACTCAGCAGCCGGATACGGCCACATCGGCAAATGATACGGCCATGAAGGCTACTATGAGGTGCATCGTGGCCAATGTTTTTGCGTATATATTGGCTGAAATACCGTGTGGACTTCAGTGGCCAGCAATAGATCAAGCTTGGAAGATAATGAAGCAGATTGCAGTGGGAACGGCAGACACCTCTAATCCGCTTTTCACCGGCAAATGTATACTGGATGAGTACAAGGATATTAACATAGGGACCGGGAAGTTACAGGGGGCGGTAAAAAACTGGTTAAAGAAAAGTAAAAAGATAAGTGCTAGTATAAAAGCAATAGAGAAGAACTCGAAATGCAACATACAATGGGCAACGTACAAGAAGGACATGGCAGCCAGAGGAGAAGCTGCAGATAGTTTCAGTATGTTTAAAGAGGAAGGCATGCAAGGTTTAGTGAAAAAGCAGATGCAAGACATGTTTAAGACAATTACCAAAACAGTACATAAGAAGGTGGTGACTGCTCGTAAGGAAGCAGGGGACTCCATGGACTCTGCAGATAGTGATGTTGACTCTGAGGACGATGAGGAGGACGGCGACGATGAAGAGCAGAACAACGCAGACAAGGACATGACGGAAACGAAAGGTAAGCATACGACTCGTAAGCATACCAATCATACGGACGCACACGGGATCACACTGCTGAATATGGATACCGCCACAACAAAACCACGCGCCCGCGGCGGAAAAGCACGGTCCCTTCGTTGAGCTGAGCACAGCGGCGGCCACAGCGGCCGCCACGACGGCGATAGCGGTAGCGGCGCGGGATACACCGGAGTTGAGATGACGGCCACAACATAAAAGTTGCACTGCTACCATCTAGCCCAGTTCACGGCGTACGCAGTCCACCGAGTCGACCCGACCGTACCACACCACACCGTCCGCCCCTTCTTTGTACCACTTGTGTCCCTTTTTTTTTTTTATCATCTTTATGTCTGTCTTTCTTCCGTCATTGCAGGCGCAGCAGGAGCGGCGGCGACGAAGCCGGCTACCACAAAACCGGTAGAAGCAGCACCCGCAGGAAGATCAGAGGAAGCTGGGGACCCACCGCAAGGACCCGTACCACCACCTCCACCTGTGGCACCACCCCCTGTATCACCACCGGACTCATCAGCGGCCGCAGCAGGTTCAGGCGGAGGATCCACAGGACAAGGACCGGGTCAAGGACCAGGACCTGGACAACAACCCCCACCTCCACCACCGCCACCACCTCAGGATTCAGGCCGGGATCAGGCGCTGCCTGATGACAAGGCTACAGGTACGTTTGATCCACATGCAAATATTGAACTTCCGCCCGTGCCCCCCCTAGAGGGGGAAGAACACATCAGTAACATAGAATTAGGGGAAGAGAAGAGATACAGTAAGGGTACTTGGGTTGTCCCAGGTGCTACTGGAACAACAGCAGTAACTACAATAACCACACATACGTCTCCACCCACGATCCATGTCCCTGAGGGAACACCTGAAGGTACTGATAATTGGCACGACAAAGTACACAGTATTACTGAGGGTCCCTCCTTGTAGGCACAGAGGAACCTCTATTCACGCAAGAGTAGTCGTGAGCACTCCGACGCCGCGAGAGAGGGGAAAAAAAAAAATAACCACAAACAAGCAACTGCGGCGAGAACACGGAGTGAGCGACACCACACGTCGAATGAGAATGATGGCGCGACCGGGGACAGTGCGCCGCCGCTGGATGTAGACGTCGACAGACGTCGACAGACACACTGTGTGTGTTGTGTGTTGTGTGTTGTGTGTGGGAGACAGAGAGAGTCTTTTCCCGGAGTGGCACCGTAATCATCGTTCGCACCGTGGCCCACCGTGCGGCTCGTGCCCCGTGGCACCAATGGTGTCAAGCGTAAAACGACGGCCAACAGCCGTATTGCGCACCATTCATCGAATAGACGTCAGTTTCATCATATTCTTTTCGTCCTGTTGCATCGTAACTTGTAGGTAACGGTGCTGGGGTGGATACAACGGATAAGGGCAAAGAGACATTAGGATCACCACAACCAGACCCAAGTGAAGCCCAAACACCAGTAGTCGCAGGAGCAGCAACACCACGAGCACCCGCTGGACCCGCTAGTCCTGCCAATCCCACCGATCCTGGGAAGTCCTCCCTTGCACCTGTACGAGCTACTGCTGATGATGGTTCCCTAGGGAAACACAAGGACAAGGCAGATTCTATGGGTGCTGACTTCACGATTTCAGATGTCGGTGGGCTCCTCGATAAGGGCACTTCCTCGTCCTTCAATGGTACGGGAGGTAGTTCTTCTGGCTTCAACAAGGACAAACACTGTACCAAGGATGGTGCCCCCCATGAGTGTGATCTGCAGTTAGACGTACCACTTAATCCCGGCACTATTAATCTTGGAGGATCATATGGGCTACGTACCCCTCAGGATCCACATATTACAACGGCAGAGAATAACAACCAGGATTCCGGGGCAGTCCCCCAAGCTGTCCCCGACCTAACCGCCCACGTCCTTACCGCCACTACTCCCGTACTCTTCTTCCTGTCCGCCGTCACCGTCGCCCTTCTTGGATATTCTCTGTGGAAAGTAAGCATGCACGCACACAACGCACACAACGCACACAAGCGCACACAAGCGCACACTAAACGCACAACGCACATACAACGCGAAAATATAACCGAGTGGAAAAATGGAACAACCGTTGCCATTCGCAATTCCACTGTTCCGTCCCATGTTCCCAAAAGGAACGCGAACAAACGTTACCTTTGGACTACTGGACAACGAAAAAGAAAGAAAAAAAAAAAAACGCACTACGGACGTATGTCACTACATGGCGGATACATTGTACATTTGAGGCAACGGAGTTTGGCTTGTACGACACCATATTAGATATTTTGGTATTCATGGGCAAAGTACATGAATGTGATTGATACCACACGGCGAGTATACATATACTGCAATTATAATCGTTTATTAATTTAAAAAAAAACAGAAAAGAAAAGAAAAAAAGCCCTAAATCATAAACCCCATTGAAACAATCGTGAAACCCAGAACAAGAACAAACATGGCACAATTCGTATTTATAACTAGCTTAACATAACTCTTTTCCTATTTCGGATAAATACATTAGATATTTCTCATTTTCAATGCAACAGAAAAAAATTTATAGTGTATGTTCTGCTGTTTTTACTAATACATTAGGGTACATCTATTTTTTTTTTTTTTTGTTTTTTTTTTTTATTTAACACACGGCATATATAAATTCCCGTATTCACATATTATATTCTGGCTCCTATAATAAAACAAAAATTCACCCAACACTATTTCTCCCCTTTCACTCACTTTGTTTCCAGCAACACTTCTAATTCTGTTTCGCTCTTATTATTGCTGATCTAAATTAACTACAAATTGCGAGTACAAGTGCCTGTTTCTTTTTTTTTTTTTCATAATAAAAACTTTGATATGAACAACAATAACAACACAAGGAAAAATAGGAACTAACATATATTATTATTGACGTCCATTTAAGAATTGTAAACTCCCTCTTCTTCAATTGTTCATTAATATTATTAAAAAGTGAGTTTCTCACAAGTTTGCTATAATTTATATATATTTATATTTTTTTCCAAAAAAAACGAAAGGCAATGTTTCCATTCTTCTAATGTTGTACAAGTAAGGCACCTTTTTTCAGAATTCTCGTATTATGTAGAAATGCAAAATACAAATTAGAAGTACTCAAAAAAGCCTGCTTCCAAAAAAAAAAAAGAATGCACATATATAAAGTATGCCCTATCATATGTAATTCCTTGTGTTTTTTTATATACTGTAATTTCCATATAAGAATGATACATATATGTTTCCTTATTACACATCATAAAGAGCACTATACTTACAGAAAAAAGGGATCTGTACGACTTTGCATATTATTTAAACATAAGTATCCACATCAATATGGCACACTCGAACAACAAACATCGACAAGCAACGTTGCACAAGGAGCGTTGCAATCCCGAAATGGCAAAACGGTTAGCGCATCCAGGAAAGGAAGTAACACACATGGAAAACAGGCGCATAGGTTCTTCTTCTTCAAAAAATATGCTATCCTGTTTGTTGTTGCGTGCATCTTCTTAACGGTAAGCCCAGTATGAAAGATTACATGTTCACGTATAGATGTGGACACTGGAGTGTTCCGCACTGGGCTATATATATGCCGTACGCAACATGCCCAAATATTTATATGTATATTTTTTCCCTTCCGGTTCTTACTTCCCCTTTTTTTCCTTTCTCATATTACCTTTCATTTATTAATTCAACGCATCACTACCACTCCTCTTCGCTTCCCCTTTCTACAGCATCCAGATAAATTCGACAGACACGCAGAGCCTTTGGCCAAATTACGCGTGCATAAAAGAGTTGCCCGCAGTTTAGCAAAAGGAAGATCAGCTCCATCAGCAGATGAGCTTGAATTAGATCCGATGGCATTCGAACACTATGACGATGATGAAGAAACCTATGAAGGTGCCTACGACGATGTCGACGAACCTTATGAAGAAGCCTATGCATTTTCCCCGAAACGCATATATTCTGACGCACAATGGGAGGAAGAGGAAGATGGAACTATACTAAAAGCATGGAAAATGGTGGAGTACGAGATACCACAACAAGTGCATTATGAAAGAAAGTGGAAAATAGAACATGATGCAAGGGAAGAAGAAGTCGACAGCACCGACACATTATCTGCTGATGTAGCAGTCACCGAGGCAGTTGCAACGTGTAGCACATCCCTGTCGAAGGTTGGATCAGGGTCCTCATTGCCACCATCCCTACAAAATACGGCACAACATGGAACAAAGAACCAGGAGCCGAAAGGATCTTCGGGTACAGGTAAAGCGGATATGCCCAAACAGGGCGACAAAATAAAATCTCCGGGAGTTTGTAATGAAGGTTCCCTTAAAAACGCCTTGTTGGGGAGATAGAATGTTCATAAAATCTTATGACACACGCCTAATTTACAGGAACGACAGCAAGCACAAAGCATGGCAAGCAGAATAAGGCAGTTAACGTCAAAACCGGAAGAGGCTTTAGTAGACGGAAATTGGCTACGTATATTTTATATAGGTACTGCAAGTTCTTTGTTGCGGCTATTGTCGTTTACACTATAATACTGCTCGTTGCTGGTTGTGTCGTTGGAGTTGTATTTTTAACTAAGACAGGACCGTGGTGTATAGGTGGGATTGCCATAGCCTCCACTGCAGTTGCAATGGGTACAGTCAGTATGTGCTCACTTGGGCTATTCCGGCGCTGCTACCGCAGGCGAAGGCAAAAGTGCCAAAGAAAGTTGTGAAAGACCAAAATTGCATCAAAACAAGAGCACAAACCAGAGGTACTCCGGAAAAATCTACAGGTAATCCGAAAAACCGGAGGCACCTAACAAAGCATAACTTCCTGTATTGCACTTCTGGGTAGGCAACGTCAATGTTACAGTATGCTTGTACATATTTTCTTAGATGGACCCTCATAATGATATTGTATGCATTTTGTATGATATGGCTTATGATTTTTTATGCATTTACTGTATATTTCCGCTTTCTACATTATAATATGGTTTACATTTTTCCTAATAGAAATGCTCCGTGGATATATGGTTCTGTTTTGTTTCTGTAATCATTTGATCCATAGACACGATGAAAGGACAAAGCATTTGAAAAAAAAAAAAAAAAAGGATGCGTCCTTATGTTTCCTATATAAATACATATATATGTACGCATATACATTCTCATATATATAACGCACATATACTTTACATCATACATGTAACATATATTATATAATAACTCATACAGTGCCTATTCTTATAATATGTAACACATTTGCCTATATTCTTCTTTCCGTAATAATAATTTATTTCGTGCGTATACAAACTTCCGCATTGCCAAATGAAACGGTTTAACACCCTACCTTTTCATATGCACACAAATGGAGGATGTTATAAATTGTAAAAGTCCATATATGCGACAAGTCCTTCACCGGAAGGGTGACATGTGTCATTTGCACACATAATACATTATATCCTGTGTTTCCCGTATATGTGCTGTGTGACGCGTAATGTCCCACGGGATTCGTTTCTGATTTTTGTATACATGGAAATACGCGATTCGTTTGAAGTGGCCGCAATCTTCGGCAAAAGTGAATCGAACCATGCCTTCTAAAAGAGCGCATTTCCCCCTTTTCTGTTATCATATGACGCACATCATCTTTCGGTGAACACACTACAGTGAATCAACATGTCCCGCTGCTCCTACAACCTGGGTGCGGAATGTTCCCTTTGTTCTGTTGCATAGGACACCGTAATTATGCGTAGTTATCAATCTATTCCTTATGGGCTACTGCTGCAATCAGCGCCATAATTCCATGCTGCCGTCGCCCTAGGCCCAAAAGATTCGTCACCCATTGTTCTTCATCAACAACTTTTCGCCTGTTTACCATGCTTCGGGCATGAAAAGGGGCGGGGGTGGGCATGGGAACGGCAATATGTCGGAGTGCCGCACACTACATTTTTCTGGTGTTCTGGGAATTCACTAATCATTATGGGTGACGGGAAGCCATAAAGGAAACTGTTCGTTTGCATTTGCAAAGCCTTTCATCCTTCCCTTAGCACATATAATACTATTCCATCGCGAAATCCATTCTCCTAAAACTTAATTCAGTCATATGCGCGCTTTATGTACATCATCGTGCCTTTATGATTTCTGGCATACAGTTGTAGGTACTTCCCAGAGTCATTCGTTTTACACATCGCGCGTGTAATTCATTTTGTTTTAAAGAAAAAAAGGAAAAGAGAAAGAGCATAAGAGCTGAGTTAGCCGTAACGCTAAAACAAATTGAAGTTCGAAAAAAAAAAAATAAATATTTGTACAAATGAAAAAAAATAAAATAATAATAAAATAACGTAAAAACAAAGAATGCCTGGACAAAATTACACGCGCACAACTTGGAATTTGCCGCAGCCCGGACAAAAAATTAATACATGTGTTCACATGTGTTGACGGCAATGCACATGTAGGCCGTTGCGCTTGTACTGTTACGAATAAAATGTACCACGAGAAAACTACACACAACAGATTTAGAGCAGCGGCCACAGTTTTCCGCAATGCATTTCGGCGTAGCGGCGCGAACAATATATGTGGGATCATTTATTTCATTACGCCCTTTTTAATTATTCCACAAGAACAATTCTTCCTGTATTCAATTTTGTGCCATATACTTCTAACGCGTTCATTTCTGAAATTGGGCATCATCCCGTATGAATATGACGCGGCGCTACGTCTGATATGTGTCTGCAACCACATATGTGCCTCGCTGATCATTTTAGGCATCCGTATATTCATATAGTATGCATTTTAGTACATTGTGAAATATGAAATTGGGTATTCAGTACGCGCGCCAAAAAAATTAACGATGAAATATAAAGTTTACTCAGTTCTTTTGTCCGTAACCATTCCTGTTCCTTCCTTTGTTGGTATGAAGCTATAGCCGCCCTTTCTTGTGTACTTTATTCCTTACGCCAAGTCCCAATATGCGCACTCACAGTGGACCTCGGCAGCTCCCAATGAGGTCATAGATCGTTACTCAATGTGCTAATTTGTTTTTGCCCGATTTAAATACATACTACTTACATTATCATAACCGCTTGTTACTACTTCCCACGCACCCCTTTATGGTATCCTGTTGACCAATCCATTCATTGTTATCTTCCCAAGTGCGCGCATCTATGACGTCCATATTTTGCCTTTCCTTTATATAACGTCCGTCTTCCCATAATCCACAGGTGTCATGTGCTCAAAGGGGACAAGGATCAGGAACAAATTACTCATCGTTTACAGCATATACAGGACAGTACACAGTAATAATGCCTGTCTAGGTTGCAGAACATAATATACCGCAGGGGAAGAACAATTATGATCCGTATAATATGACACAAATGTGCTCGACATAATCCCCCGCACACATCATTCCCAATGGACGGAACCCTTCCCTTCCTTTATAACTTGCCGCTGAACCCGCCCCGCACCATGATGTCTCCCACATGTCTTCCCACATACACGCTCCACTACTTCAACACACACCGTAAACATTCCGCTCAATACTAACTCCTGCTCATAACACTGTTGCAACTAATGGACGGCGCATGACACCTTACGTGGTCATTTCGTAAACCAGAATAAACGCCACGTGGAATAGTATTTACGCGGTCAGACGCATTTTTCTGTCAGTTCAAATGCTTTACTCATACGGGCCTAATATATACCTCCTATTTATTCCATTTTTCCATATTACTTATGCTACTTTGTCGGATGTCTTAAGAGTATCCTCTGCGCGTACCTCCGTAGATATATTATTGTTGATTCTCCTCAGGAGAATAAAGTTCCTTGTGTTCGTATATTCGAGGAACGCAGGGCAGCAGCCACTGTTTCCCTTGTTCCTCTTCTACATCACATAGCTGAGCAGCAATGTAACATCTTTTAACCGCTGTTCATTTTCTTTACTATTATAATGCGGGAAAAAGAAAAGGAATAACAGGGAAACAGCGCAACGACATAGGAGTGTAACCTGGGACGTTTAATTAAATCTTAAATTTTAAGGGAAATATGATGATGTACATCGTTCGGCTCAGGGTAAGCAAATAGAAGTCCTACTTGGTAATTCATATGCAATGCTCATAGTGACACAAACTACGCAGATTCTACAAGTGTACAATACATTTTACATATTGTAGCAATGTGCTTCTTTATATGGTTGTATACAAATAGAGCACCTGTGATAAAGTGCAAGTATGGGAAAAATTACAGTGTACCCACCTGTATACCATGAACACAGATAATTCCCCTTTCTTAAAATTATTATAAATGTCCTGAACTGATTCTTCTGCTAAACAGGCAGTGGCGTGTTTATCTCCTTTTTTTTATGTTGTCATTTTGTACAGAAAAAAACCCTTTCCTTTAAAAATAATATATGCATGACAAGTTAAAAAAACATGCTGATTCCGTAACATAGAACCTTCGGAAATAAACAGAAGATAAAGCAGATATTCGTTCTGCCATTATCAAAAGGAAAGCGGCATCCCAGGAACCGTTTCCACGGTTGCGTACATACAAGTTGATGAATCAATATAAGCATATATAACACATGGAAAGGAAAAAAGAACAATGATAACTATTTAGAGTCTTTATATATTTTCTCCATTATCCTAGATAACTTATGTCAATACTCCACGGGAGTATTAGCTCGATCATTATATATTATGTACTTCCCTACAGTAATATTCGCGACATTCATATTCTCCAATTTCCTACCTTCCATATATGTATTCCTTGCATGTATTTTTTGTCACATGCACATTTTCTACATTCATTCGTTCTACATTCATATGTTTAATATGTATATTTCTTATTTGGATATTTCAAATTTTCATACTCTCTGTAACACCATTTTCTACCATTTGGACATGGCCTGCAAGTGACTACATTTCATGATGAATATTTCATTAAGAAATATGTCACATAATATCCTGTCGTTCTTAATACAGGAAAATATTTATCGTGAACCTAAAAACCCCTAAACCCTAAAAAATTCTACTGTTCTAATAATGCAAATAATCTAATTCTTCTTAAAATAAATTTCCCACCATTATATCCACATTAAAACAACAAAATGTTTGTGCATACAAAGAACTTTTACCTTTTCAAAAACACATAATTTCCATTTATTCCACCATTAGCAGCTAGATATAATTGAAAAGTGGGTAATAGTTTTTCTCAAAACACCGACAGCCCTAATTAATTGTAAATACTATCACATGTATAGGCAATACATGTTTATTTCATTTTGTTAGCATTACCACATTTCTAATATATACTGCCTTGAATATGAATTTTTCATTTAAATTATACATCGGAATACTTACAGCAGAGAATAATGAATCGCATACACAAATGGTTTAATGAGCCTATTCTGTGTACAAAAAAAAAAAAGAACTGCATAATCTGCACATATATACACAAAAAAAAAGGATATATCGCTATTCTTAACTTCCCCTTTGTTAAAAGCAAAAGAAAACCAAAAAACAAACAAAATGATGTTCGCTCTCAAGCTTTCCATATTCAGCTTCATATTGTACTCCTGGCAAGATCCCGAAAAGGTACGACCCAATAATTAACGCTGCCGTAGAATGTGCATTTACATCTATGATTATGATGTTATTCATGCTCCTAACAATTGAAAACGCTTCTTCGTTCTTTTCTTTTAACTGAATACCTGTGCATTGCATAACGCCCTCAAATACATCCTTCCCGCTTTTTTTGTTATATGTTAGGCGAATGAATGCGGCACATCATGGAAACATTGGGCCAAGCAACATGACACTCTCGGTGTCAGGATCAGTAGATTACTGACGGTCGAATTAGATATGCAAGCACCACCACAACCAAATAATACATTACTGCTCAGTCCTGGTAAGGGTCAAGATAAAAAAGTCGCATCGCGGAAAAAACCAGGACAGTCCGGTAAACCAAAATCGAAGGTTGGTGAAGCAGGGTCATTGCCACCGTCCTCACAAAATGAGGAACAAAGCCAAAAAGGAGAAAACAAGCCCCAGGAACCTTCACTAAAGGGTGGCGCTGACTGGCAAACACCAGAACAAAGTCACAAACTTCCCGGCAATCCTAGTGGGGATTTCTTTAAGGAACCACTCGTTCGGGCTAAGGAAAAAGATGCGAAGGATAATGCAGAATCTGTTACGGGAGCAACAAAAGTTCCCGGACCAGAAACAACGCGGGAATCAGATGAACAAGTAGGGGTCAAAAGACATGACGTCCTAGCTGATGCCATATATGATGATGTCTCCACAGTCCCCAAATCACATCACAAGCTAGGTAATGATAACAAGAAAAGGCAAGGGAGGCAGCAACAAAGGATGGGGAAAGGATATACAATTGAGAAATATGAAGGCACACTAGCAGAAGATAGGGAAAAATATGGAATCCATAGGTCGATTGCATTCCATTACGAAATGTCTTGTTTCGATGAACGATTGAGAGATTCTGAAATAAATAAAAAATTAGAACAAATGAAAGAAGAACCTCATACATGGGAATTACTCTCTCTATACTGGCAATCATACAGAAATGAAAGAAGTAAATATCGTGCTCTTAAAAAATCTTTGAAGGAAAAATTGTTAGAATTGCAAAAAAAACAAACTATTGCAACTCCCGACATATATAACAAGAAATGGAAAAAATGTGAAGAGATAATTAATAATAACTTGACAAAACAGCATGAACATGTTAGTGATGTATTTTATACCATGGTTGCAAAGGAAAAATTGAGCAGAGATGAATTCGAGAAGATTTTATATGATTTCAGAGAATCATGGAAAGAAGTCACCCTTAAGACAGCAGACGAATGTATAGCCATTATTGGAGAACCAATTTCTTTGGAAGTCATATACCACGAGAATGACCCTAATGTCTTTGGGATGAGGGTTCCAGGCTTTACAGTTCCGGGTATGCCGTACGACTCCAACAGGAAATTAGATACATCAGTTGGAGCAGAGCGATCATCCCAAGTTTCACAGAATGAGGAACAAGCCGAAACAGCAGAAAAGAAGGCACAGGAATGTTCACTAGATGGTGGCACTGACATTCAAACACCACACCAAAGTAAGAAACTTCCCGGCGATCCCAGTGGAGGCCCCCTTAAAGAACCTGTGCCGGGAACAAATTCCGGAAAATCGAAAACCAAAGATGGATCAGAGGGGTTAGTAGTAGCTTCAGAAAAGAAGGCACACATTAAAGAAACGAGCGAGCAAACTAGGGGACTGTGTAGTACACTAGCGCGAACTTTAAGTAGAAATAAATGGTGGATCCCCGCTACATTGGCCGTTCTTGGTGTCTATATAGCAACGCTGCCTAAGCTTCCCAAAGCTGGGAATTTAGATGGATGGATTGCGTCTTTATTAATAGTTATCCCAGGCATCGCACTTACGCTTCTGGTTGTGCTATTTTGGTCTAAACGCCGGAAGGGAAGATCAGGAGTGCCCAAGAAAGCCCTGAAGGATAAAATTTCATCAGACGCAGAGCACAAAACAGATGTATCCAAGAAATCGGAAGCACCTAAGACACCGGAGACACCTGAGAAGACGGAAGCACGTATAAAGGCAGGACAGTCCGAGAAGCAGGACGCACCTAAAACGGACGGAGAATCGGAGAAATCGGAAACACCTAAGAACCCGGAAGCACCTGGGAACAAGGAAGCACCTAAGAAGCAGGACGTACCTAAAAAGGCAGGAGAATCCGAGAAACCGGAAACACCAAAAGAAACGGAAGTATCTAAGAAACCGTAGGCACCTAACAAAGCGACCGTGCCCGTAGAATCGTAAATAACATTATTATTCTACTTTTGGTAAACAACTTCAATGTTATAGTATGTTCCTACACATGCATGAGACAGGCATTTTTCCGTATGATATTCTGTACTATTTCCATGATAGAGTGCATTCACGGTTTTGTGGCATTCACCTTGCAGTTCCATTTTGTACATTATAATTTTTTGTATGTACATTTTTCCGAATATACATAGTTGTTCGTGTGTATGTTGTATTGTTTGTTGATATAATGAGTTGTTCATGCGAGTTAAAAGACAGGACGGAAACAAGCTTTAGAGAGAAAAAGAGAGTATGTCCTACTTCACTTTTATATGTATATAATGCACAAGTATATTGTGTCCTATATATAATGGTTACTATAAGCGCAATATGTATAGTAAGTACTTTCATAATGTATAAAATGTGTTTTTATTTTTCTTCTAACTCAAACAATTTGTGATAAATGTCAGAAATGTCTTCGAAGTTATAATTATTTGCTCTGTAACACTATCGTTCGTTACCACATCACATACTATGACAGCGTTTGTCATGAGAACAGCGTATGCACCCCTTCTTCTTTGTCCTCACTTCTCTAAAGCTTCTCAAATGATCTGGAAACAAACTATGCACATATAATCCTTTTATATCCATAAATCCCGTACGCTCCACACTCGTCACCGCGCCGCTGCACGGTACGCTCGTCTACACAGTGGCCAACGCTGCCAACGGTGCGCTCGTCGCGCCGGTCGTGGCCGATCAACGTCAACGAAGTCTGTTGCTGTGCTGCTTCCGCCGCGTGTGCGTTGTTGTTGTGGCGGCATCCATATTCGTACGGTACGTATTCGGTCATATTTGTCCGCATTCGTGCTTTCTCCCATGTGTCCTTACCTGTCGGTTCCTTTTGTGTTGCCGGTTCATTATCTGCTGGTTTGGCGCTGCCAACTGCAGTATGTGTAGTACCCGGTTCTGACATGCCCGGTGATGATGTTGTTGTTGATGACGATGTAGCCTGTTGTTCCCCCGCTGATTGTCCGTGTTGTTGTGGAGTGGTCGAAGCGGAGTCCTTGCCCTGCTTCACCTTCTTTATTATAGAATCCATACTTTCTCCCGCACTGGAGGAATCTATTTCCTTTAGTATCTCCTTTACGACTGCTTCCAGTGCTGTACCTACTTCCTCAATTTTGTTATTCGCTCTATGTTTTATCTCTATCACCTGTTCCTCATTTGTTCCTACTGCGCCGTTGTCTCTGTCTACTATGCATTCCTTCCCTAATACTCCCCAGTCCCCATCGCTCAAGTAGCGCTTATTCCTCTGAAGCCATCTTTTCATTATGTCCCATGGATCCCATTCTGCCGTGTTTTGTCCTTTTGTCTTTGTACCGTCCTTCCTGTCCTCCTTCTCACATTCCATATTGGGCTCCTGGTACTGGCCCTGCCTGCGCGTTGCTGTCGCAGCTTTAAATGCATTTCTTCCTCCGTCTAAGTGCAAACATTTGTGTCCTATTATTTTTTTCATAAATATATTCACTAAAATACATTTCATATACGGCTCTATTGTAGCATCCTCCGTGTGCACATTATTCAAGTGTGTACCTCCTGCCATCCACTGGATCCCATGTTTGAAACTTAATGCCTTTAATACTAGCCAGCACACAGCTTTGTCCGTCTCATTGAATATTTCCCCCGCCTGGTGCCCATCGTGATGCATTGCACACAGGGGCTCTATGAATGTATCGTGTTCTGCATGTTGCATATGCTCTTTAAATTTCCCCCACACTGCTGTGACATGTTTCCAGAATAGTTGCTACAGGTAAAATATTCACCATATATCCATATATAAAGTATGCGACCTTGCTTATATTCCTTCCCTATATATACTGTTACATATAACTACGCCTTGCGCATCCTAGACATATATTCCCGTGCGACCCATACAAAGTGTACGAACGGACAAGAAGAACACATGCACCTTTTGTATGTAGTGCTCCAGTGGTGTTGATATAGCCATATAGTACTATGCGCGCGTTACGAGCAAATGTCCACATATGTGTACTTAGGTTAAACTCCTTATCAGCCGTTTGTACTCCAGTATCCTTGTTTTTAATATATTCGTCCCATAATATTTGTGCATATTGTGCCATGATCTCACTATCCTCAATATGTAATATATAATTTTCCTCCCCGATATTCCCTTAAACCCTATATGAACTCTACCTTACGCCGTGAAGCATACTTACTGGCATAAATATTTCTATTATGACATACCTACAGTATTACCCCCCCTTCATTAGAATCCTTAACCACAGCACTTCTTAACAACAAATAACCGCCTGAACAACAAAAACCCCACTTAACAACAAATACCCTGTTCACACTGTCTCTCTGTGCGTACACCTAAAAACGAACAACAACATAGTCACAACATCAAGTGCTTCTTCCGTCGTTGCCGTGGTTGTTCGCCCTACCACATAATATGTGTGTTCCTTCTCCACCCCCACGCTCTCTGCTGCCTCACGCGATCCTTCGCTCGAACGGCTTACTCGACTACTTCCTCGGACAATCTCTTACTCGGCTACGTCGTCGACAATCCCCTATATGCGGCCGCGTTTGCTCGGAGAGACAATCCTCCTTCTGACACTCGGCTACTTCCTGGGACCGCGTCACTCGGACAATCCTTCGTCGAATCCCTTTACTCGGCCACGTTTGCTCGGAGAGATAATCCCGTGTATGAGGACTCGGTGATGGTGACGCCACAGAAGCGGAAGCGGCGCATTGCAGCAGAATAGTAGGGATGCAGTGGGCAAAAGGCGCACGGAAAAGAGGAAGAAAAAGAAAAAAATGCGACGAGAGGATAGAATGTAGGAACGGTAAACCAAAGAACAGCACACGAACAGTAGGCAGGAGCAGTGTTCTTGTGCGATGTCGCATGCAGAAAAAAACAACGGAAAGAAGCCGCTAATTCCTAAAACTCATAAAGTCGCTAACTGTGAAAACTTACACCTTTTAATGTGAACATTGAAAACATACATTCCTGAAGCATAAAGCCTAAAACCCTGAACTCTGAGACACTAGAACTGAGAGCCCTATAGCCTAGACCCTAGATCGTAGATCCTAGACATTAGACCGTAGACCCCTATATCCTAGATCCAAGATCCTAGACATTAGACCGTAGACCTCTATATGCTGACCCTAAAGTCTTCAATGTTCTCCCTTCGCCGCATAAATTTTGTTTTTAATAAATATTTAATTAATATGTGATACAAATGAATAATTTATATATACACATGTATTAAATGTTGAAAATTTGTGGCTTGCATAAAACAAATAGTCGTATAGATTAACACTAACATATATGTAACATTTGATTTAACTTTATTTTTATGTATTAATATATGGATATTTTTAGGAGAAAAAAAATTTAACAATATCTTCAGAAGTTACTAGAGAATATTTATATATTAAAGAAAAAATGAGTATTCATTCATTGAAAAGTGTAAGTAATTGTATAGGATAGTTAGAATAGGTCATATGGATTGTATCCTGTTTAATGTTCAGTACATGCGCAAGTCACCATGCGCAAGTTATATTGATAAGTTTAGTCATTTTGGGGTCTTTCGTTTTTTTCATAATATTATGATATTCTTCTTTACTAATTTCGGTTATTTATAATGGTCATCGTATTGATTAATCATACTTTTCATTTTGATATATACAATACACCCTCTTTTTGTATTATTTCTTTTCCATTATACAGAAACTAACTAAGGAATATAGGCCTTAGCCCGACCCCATTAATGTGACAACAAGTACAACAATAAGTATGGGTAGCGCGAGTAACAGTAGTGCTACCAATCCTCTACCATAATATGGTAACCCCCAAAACATCGACATCATTGGGGTAATATATCTCGCCCTGAATCCCATATAGCCGGTTAATGGTGAATAAGCACAAGGCGCATGTCCGAGGGCACCGTGAATAGCAGTATCAACTACTGTCCCTACTGTCGGCACTGTCGGTACAACCGGCACTGCCGGTACTCCTGGTACTGTCGGTACAACCGGTACTGCCGGGTGCACTGGTGAAACAATGGGTGTATGATGATGATGTGAATGGTGAGTAATACGAGTCCTGCAGGGAGGAATATAGAAGGGGGAAAATGGTAGATTATTAATGTAATTGGTAATCGCCGGTATATATGTAGTTGTACATGAAGCATAAGGGAATATGGTACTGTGTGGTGGTGTATTCTATTTAACCTGGTTCGATCAAATGGCCAATCGTGTCCTCCTTCATTACGTACATATGTATTAATGGAATTGGGATTTGTTGATCTAGGAGTTTCCACAATGGTCTCGCTACAGTGGTCATGAAAGCCAGGTCCATGTAGTAAAGCTAATTGTCTGCTGTTTATTAAGTTGTTCCTGGATTTGTCATTTTGTTGACAGGTCCTAGGGTTATAATGTATGCCCTAAAAACAGATAAGAAAAAAGAAACAACAACAGTCATGTATGCGTTTTTCTACAACACGAGGTATTCGCATATGCCTCTTAGTAATGGAACAGTGCTAGTTACATAAGAGGAAATTAGAAAAGCATGTAGAATACAACAATAACGGTTTCTTTTTTTCATTTTGCGTTATTTTTCACATGCATATATACTATTATCTTACATGATTAACATTCTGTAACACACAGATGAAACAAATAAATAGAAGCAGTTCGCAGCAAAGGAAGAGTATTTTAGTCCTATTACTAGCCGTATATTTCTTCATGTTCTTGACTTTTTTTCTTTTTTTTTTTGTAATTAACTCTTTTGCTTTTAACAGCTTCAATTGCTTTTTAAGCAATACGAATTGTTTTCAACTTTTTACACATCAAATTGAAAGTGACATAAAATGACAAAAAACTAGCGCTATTTTTGTTCGCGATAAAAATAAAAATAATATGAAATGGTTACTCGTAATCGACAAAAACAAGAAATATATTTTTTTCTTAGTAGTAGTCACAATGGCATTACGTGCATTACACAAAATCATTGGGAACCTAATACATGTTTAGGATATTGTAATTTGTGATAAAATGACACAAAATACAGTAAACATAAATAGAAGAATAAAAAGGTTATTTTACTATTTTTATAATATTTTCCGAAAAAAATCAAATAAAGCATTTTTGTTATGTTTATTACTAGGGAAAAAGGCTTAGCGAATTTTTTTACACGTGTATGGAAGCAAAAGAAAACGGTGAGAAAAGTATGAGCATCACAAAGCAACAATTGCAGCGCGGGGAGAGGCACTCACTTGTGAAATGTATAATAATATCACCTAATTATGAGAGTACATATACAGAACGGTGCTTTCGGGTATTATGAAAATAGTTTACTTATGGCAACAGTGGTAATATAGCCAGAATAAGTTATACAACCGTTATGCGCTTGGTTCATTTAATGTATATATATTAAATAATGTATAGAGCCCTTTGTGTTCATATACACCAAAATGTCCATGCCGAATTGTTACAGTTAATGATAATATAAAAACGAAAAAATGTGCGAAAGCGGATTAGTCAAAAAAGGGGTTATTTTGTATAGAATGGATATATTATGTACAGCATTCAGGGTTCAAGGGTTTAGGGGTTACGCATTCGGAGTTCCATGCTTTTGAGGCTCAAGTATGTAAATATGCAAAAACACCGTAGGGTCAATTATTTAAAAATATTGTTCTGAACAAAATTTTTTTCTGATAAAATATAATAATTTGTAAGCCGTTTCGAATAGTAGAACAAATAGTATTATGGTAAATAGTAGAGCAAAGAACGTTGAATAAAGTAACATATGAGTGTACAACCTATGAATGTAGGACGAACATACACAGAGAATATACACAATATATATATGTAGAAAATAGCAATGTGACGAAAATATGAGCACGGAACATGTCGTTATGGACTGTTTGGGACTGCAGTCGTCGGGAGACAACCGCCTGGGGGTAATATGCTTCTGCATGGAATATTTCCAGTAGTCTCATAAAAAAAAACGAGAAGAACACGTACAGGGAGTAATGTAAGTGAATGTTTCAAGTTTTCCCGTTTCTTTCCCCTTTCTGTCCTATGTGACATATGCCTATATAAATCCTTACGTATGTATGTATAAGAAAGCGTAATAACTGCTACCACATACGACAATGTTCACGTGATAATAGGGGACGAATACCAATATTGTCACTTTTTGCGTAGGAGATTTCGGCATCTGTATAAATGTAGCATGCTGTGTATGTTGTCAGTAATGTATGCATTACCATAAAGAATCCATTTTTCGACTGAAAAAGGAATAAGTCGCAATGAGTACACTGCTGCTCTCTTCTTAGGCGAAAGAAAAGGAGGATTACGTACAATAGGACTGATAATTTATTCGAGGTGGATGGGAGGAGGCGGAAATATCGAACTCTATATTATATAACGGCGTACTATATTCTTAACGAGCACGTGCGTACCATATGTATAGTACAGTTGTAGAGTCTGTTTAATTCATTTTTTTCCCAGAGTGACTATTAACTGCTACAGGATGGGAAACCCTCTCCCCCTGTGTTTGTGCCTTGTACATACATTGAATCGGACGTTTTCTTAGAATGTTGGACTGCATTAAGTAATTCAATAGTATCCTTTTCTTTTCTTGTCCTTTGTTCCCTTTTCCTTGTCCTTTTTCCCGCATTATAATAGTAAAGAAAATGAACAACGGTTAAACCATGTTACATTCCTGCTTAGCTGTGTGGTGTAGGGGAAGAGGGGAAACAGTGGCTCCTATCCTGCGTTGGTACAATGTACGAATGGCAGGAAATTTTTTCTCCTCCCATGGGAAAATTAACGATCACATATATAAGTAAGAATGGAAGGATACTTTCAAGACATCCAACACTACGCATAAGCAATATGGATGCTTAAAAGGGAAATTTCAGGTATATATTCCGCGTCTATATTAGGAAATGATTAGACGTGGCGGAAAAATGCGTCTGACCGCGTACATACTATTCCACGTTGTGTTTATTCTGGGTTACGAGATGACCACGTATGGTGTCATCCGCCTTCCATTAACAGGAACCCTGTTATGAGCAGGAGTTAGTATTGTGGCGGGAACATTTACTGTGCCTCTCTTCAAGTAGTGGAGCGTGTAGGGTGCAAAAATGTGGGAGACATCATGGTGCGGGGCGGGTTCAGCGGCAAGTTATAAAGGAAGGGAAGGGTTCCGTCCATTGGGAATGATGTGTGCGGGGGATTATGTCGAGCACATTTGTGTCATATTATACGGATCATAATTGTTCTTCCCCTGCGGTATATTATGTTCTGCAACCTAGACAGGCATTATTACTGTGTACTGTCCTGTATATGCTGTAAACGATGAGTAATTTGTTCCTGATCCTTGTCCCCTTTGAGCACATGACACCTGTGGATTATGGGAAGACGGACGTTATATAAAGGAAAGGCAAAATATGGACGTCATAGATGCGCGCACTTGGGAAGATAACAATGAATGGATTGGTCAACAGGATACCATAAAGGGGTGCGTGGGAAGTAGTAACAAGCGGTTATGATAATGTAAGTAGTATGTATTTAAATCGGGCAAAAACAAATTAGCACATTGAGTAACGATCTATGACCTCATTGGGAGCTGCCGAGGTCCACTGTGAGTGCGCATATTGGGACTTGGCGTAAGGAATAAAGTACACAAGAAAGGGCGGCTATAGCTTCATACCAACAAAGGAAGGAACAGGAATGGTTACGGACAAAAGAACTGAGTAAACTTTATATTTCATCGTTAATTTTTTTGGCGCGCGTACTGAATACCCAATTTCATATTTCACAATGTACTAAAATGCATACTATATGAATATACGGATGCCTAAAATGATCAGCGAGGCACATATGTGGTTGCAGACACATATCAGACGTAGCGCCGCGTCATATTCATACGGGATGATGCCCAATTTCAGAAATGAACGCGTTAGAAGTATATGGCACAAAATTGAATACAGGAAGAATTGTTCTTGTGGAATAATTAAAAAGGGCGTAATGAAATAAATGATCCCACATATATTGTTCGCGCCGCTACGCCGAAATGCATTGCGGAAAACTGTGGCCGCTGCTCTAAATCTGTTGTGTGTAGTTTTCTCGTGGTACATTTTATTCGTAACAGTACAAGCGCAACGGCCTACATGTGCATTGCCGTCAACACATGTGAACACATGTATTAATTTTTTGTCCGGGCTGCGGCAAATTCCAAGTTGTGCGCGTGTAATTTTGTCCAGGCATTCTTTGTTTTTACGTTATTTTATTATTATTTTATTTTTTTTCATTTGTACAAATATTTATTTTTTTTTTTTCGAACTTCAATTTGTTTTAGCGTTACGGCTAACTCAGCTCTTATGCTCTTTCTCTTTTCCTTTTTTTCTTTAAAACAAAATGAATTACACGCGCGATGTGTAAAACGAATGACTCTGGGAAGTACCTACAACTGTATGCCAGAAATCATAAAAGCACGATGATGAAATTAGAGTATGTGCATATGACTGCATTAAGTTTTAGGAGAATGGATTTCGCGATGGAATAGTATTATATGTGCTAAGGGACGGATGAAAGGCTTTGCAAATGCAAACGAACAGTTTCCTTTATGGCTTCCCGTTACCCTTAATTATTAGTCAATGCCCAGAGAAACAGAAAAAGGTAAAGTACTGTGCGGCACTCCGAAATATTGCCGTTCCCATGCCCGCCCCCGTCCCTTTTCATTCCCGAAGCACGGTAAAAGGCCAAAATGTATTGATGAACGAAAAAAAACGGGGGCGGCGTGAACAATGCATTTTGTAGGGCGAACGTCCCACGAGCATGGCATTATGGCGCTGATGGTAGTAGTAGCAAGCCGTGGGGTCTGGATTCGTAATTGCATATGATTTGCAGTGCGTAATACAACAGCAATGGGGGGGTACATTACTTACGCGGAATTTAAGGAGCACGACGAGCATGTTGATGTTTCCCATCCTGTATACCGTAACACAGAAAACTGTGCACCAATAACGTAAACATGGACACATATTAGAAGTACCCATGACGTGATATAAATGTGTATACATATATATATATACAACGCGGCTTGTCAATACCATAACAGGAAGTGCTCACATAAATATATGCAGGACCGAAGCAGAATGCAAGTCTGTCCCTATTCGCGCTTATGCTTGTCACCTGCCATTTTCCTGCATGTTATACAAATGACTGCGTCCAGTAGCATGAAATAGTACCCTATACACTATACTTTACATGTAATGAATCTACGAAATATTCATCTCCACAGGAAACACCATATCACATCGTCGCCGGTTAGAAAGAAAAGAAAAGGAAAAGAGGAGGACGCCTGTTCCCTTTACTTTTTTTTTTTTTTTTTTTCTTTCACGCTAGCACGCTCTGTTAAAAAGGGGCTATTTTCCCTTCGTTCGCGGTTCCGCGCAGCGGAGTGAGATCACGGGACAACTTTTTAACGTAACTTCTTATACACGGAACGCGCGCGTTTACAAAGACATGTGTGTACGTGTATATACAACCATGCCACGCACATTCACATTGTCTTCTCTGGTCGGCATGACCCTAAGGAATGAACAATTATTATTCCTTCATTAAGTCCTGTTATTACGCTCACCTATTGGGTTTCAGGTGGAGTGTGCATCAGGTCATTGACAGGAGATGGATGACGACTAGGTTTACGAGTGCGTCGCAATATGGTGGCTATGCGGTAAAAAATGGACAAGGGGGAAAGCACAAGCAGGCCATCACAAGTGTTCAGGCGTGACCATGCTCAGTTACATTGTACTCAGTAAAAACTGTAACACCGCAGAAGCTCACCATGGTTTGTCCAAAACGAAAAAACCAATCATCTCCTAGGCGCATGTGGGATGTAATTATAGGAATGAACATGAACAAAAAAAAAGGGGCCCTCCCCCCTTTTTTTTTCCCACGTTCTAACTTCTACATTTTATCTGCGATGAGTAATATGCCTCCTGTTTGTCCTCGCTCTATAGCTTTCTACTCTTTCGCTCAAAATGTTAACCCATTTGTCCTTGTTTCGGACAACACTTTCATGTGCTAATTTGTTCAAACGAACTACCAGATTCTCAAATGGTATGCTCCATATATATTTTCCTGTCTTTCTATTAACAAAATTGCGAAATAAATTTTCACATGTCCTTCGGATGCATTCCAAGTCATACAGAAGCTCCCTTTTGCATTCTTCCCACAACTTTAACTTGTACTCATCAGGCAAATTATTCGTTTCGGCTAGGTTGTAAAACCACCTGTTTAGATAGTTCACCATATCGTACTACTTCGTTTCTAAATACAGCACGTCATCAAAGAATAAAACAAATGCTTTCTTTTTGGTCAGCCTAAGAAAAAATTTTCGCCGCATTTCTAATATTCCCTTGCTCGTGAGGTGCTTTGAAAGGTCATCCATGGTCCAACCGCATGGAAGATGTGATTGATATATTTCCCAGATACGATCTTTCCACTTAGGGTAAGAGACCCCACAGTATTGTATTGTATGGGCTCTACAACTGCCCTGCAAACAGTCTTCATGGCGTTCCTGTGGATTGGACCCCGTATCGCTGTACCCGTCGAACCAGTCAAGCTGCAGCCCCTCCGGATCGCTATAACCTTCCCGTTCCTCCCGTGTGCTGTACCATTGATCGTCCCATTCACAATCGATCTCATGGATCCAATTACCCCGTTTCCCCTCGTCCCGGTTGCGTTGCTGCATGATGGGCCTGCTATAATCACGGTGCTTCCTACTGAGCCCGTTGCGAACTTGCCACTCCGGGAAATTACCCATTGTGTCAATCTCTTCCTGTGACTGCCACTCCTCAACTATACCATTATAGCCATTGTCGGGTGTGTAATGATTCCCATTCGTGTACTGGTTCTCGCTGAGTAAACAATCATCCAAAAACAGCGATAGCTGAGACAGATTGCGTGCATACCTGGATGCATATGTCCTTGTGAAGGTTCCTACCTCTGTTGCCCCTTTTATACTCTGCAAAGAGGAAGAGTAGAGTCATATAGGAATAAAGGCAAATAAAATAGAATAGAGTAACATATAGTAAAGTTGAATGAAATAATCAAAACTAAAGAACGCCAAGAAAGGTGGAAGCACGTAGGGAGCATGTGCCAGGATAAATATGTAAAAAGGGGACAAATTGTGCTCTCGTATTCGTCACAGTTATGATAGAAGGGGAAAAAATGGAAAACATCGGTTTACTACTATTTTCACATAAAATGTAAAAACAAAATCACAATTTACTAACATGTAATTTATAGGTTACATATGTGTATATAGCATTTCCCCTCTATATTAAGGATTTAACTTACTTCTGAAATATGGCTTAGAGCAATAGCCAAGGTTATAATAAGGATGCTTCTCGATAAATACGAGCCCATAGTTGTAGCTCTACTTTTTTTTTTTTATAATATAACGTTGGTTCTAATATACATCTGGCCCCCATTTTAAAAAGAACAGAAGAAGAGGGCAGAGCATTTTTCCATCATATTATATAAGAATTACATTCCTCCGTAAGTTCCCTCTTCTCCTTCTGCATTATTCATTAAGAACAAGGAGAGAATCCTTTTTTTTACCATTTTTTCCTCTTTTCCTTTATACGGAACATGGGAGGCAGTAAAGAAAACAGTACGATTTCCCCTTTGATTGCATGTATTAGTATGAGTAATATGCAGGCGCTCATATATACCATTAGTACATAGATTCCATCATTTTGTACTTGTTCATTGTATAAAATATAGTACAAAAAAACAAACAAAAAAAATTTAAGAACAAGTGTTATGCACTGTTGACATAATAAAAACATAGAATAGTAGAAGAAAAAAGGGAAAATTATGAAGTAACAAGGACAATGTAACACCGCTGTACATATTTTTCTGTATAAAAATTTATGTACAAAGTTTTATCCTAACAACATCAAAAACAAAAAAAAAATTTTAATAGAGTAATTTTTGAATTATTTTTTTATTAAGGGAATTCCCATAAGGTAGAATTAAAATAATGTATATAATATCCAGATTTTACACAGAACATTCTCATAAAAAGCAAAGTATACCAACGTAAACAACAGAACAACGTTTAAAATATTTCATTCTCAGTTTGTCAAGAGAAAAAAGGAGATGCAGTTATATGTATACAAACGGTTGTAAACTATACTTCTTCATGTAATACTCCTAAATACATAATACATCGAACAACGATATAAACAACGACCTTATCAATCTCGACACGGGTACATATATAATCTTCCTCATATATATACTAAAATAATACCCCCTTAAGCACTGATACACTGTACAAAAAATCCTGAATCTACAAGTTACAACTGAATATTTTTTTTTCGCGTTTCACATCATACAAATGGCCTAATGCTTCTTTTAAATAATTTCCCTCTCATTATATCAACATTAAAATAACAACATGTTCGTGCATGCATAGAAGTTTTCATTTTTCAAAAACATATAACTTCCATTTCACGGGACCGTCAAAAGTGCAATATTCTTAAAAATTGTGCTTCATATGTTTTTACAACATACCAAGCACTTTAATTAATTTCAAATCATACAACATGTACTAAAAGCATTTTTTTCCATTATTCTGCATTATCACATTCCCCGTATTATATATTCTTTTGTATATTAAATTTTCACTTTATTTATATAATATAAATACTGAGAACATATAATCAAAAATCTCATACACAAATGGTTCCCATTAGCATCTGCCGTGAACAACAAAAAAAAAGGGGAAAATAACCGTATAATTCGCACACATATATATAAAAAAAAAAGATTTAATGTCATTCTGAACTTTTCTTTTCGCTAAAAGCAAGAATAAAAAAAAAAGGAAAAACATGATACCTTCCGCGAAATTTTTAATATTCAGCTTGCTACTGTACCTTCGGCAATATCCTTACCATGTATGATAATACCTAAAGCATCCCCCAAAAAAACGTTGTTGTTATTCCGATTAGCCCCTTTTTTCTGTTTTGTTAAAAATTAGAAACTTCTTCGTTCTTATCCTTTATCTGAATACTTGTGCATTGTATAAACGCTCAAATACATGCTCCCGTATTTTCTATATGTTAGGCGAATGAATTCGGCACATCATGGAATCATACGGCCGCGCAAAATGGCACTGTCGGTGTCAGGATCAGTAGATTATTAACGGGTGAAGTGGATATGCAAACACCAACGCAGACTAAAGTTCTTGCTAAACCTGGCAACGGTGCACCTAAGGAAACCGCGCTACCAGGAAACAACCCTGGTAAACCAGGTTCTAAGGCTGGATCAGAAAAACCGATGCCAACGTCCTCACAAGGTAAGGCACTAAGTGAGAAAAAAGAAAACAAGCCAAAAGGAACTGAAGTGAAGAATGGAACGGATAACAAAAGACCAGAACAAAATAAAGCACCCGAGACTCCCACAGGAGATCGTTCCAAGGAAACTGCGCCGGTTGAGAACTCGGGAAACTCAGATCCTGCGGTTGGATCAGATAGGCCATTACTAGCCTCAAGGATTAAAGCACAAGTTGAGAACACGACAAAGAAGCTCGCAGCATTCTGCAGTGCATTGAAGCGTATTATAATTATGAATAAGTATTTGATCCTTTTCGTTATAGTCCTCTTTATTCCTGTTACAGCATTGTCCCCCCTACCTTTGTTCTTTGAGAAAGAATTGTTGACTTTTCTAGTAGTAGCTGCTGCCGCGACAGCAATCCTAGGAACTATATTCTTGATCACGCTATCCTGCCTTGTCTACAGAAGGATAAGATTGAGACAGTCGAATAAAAATATGACTGGCAACACTTCACCACAGAAAGACAAGAATGTACAAGTACTTGGCAAACTCGAAGCACCTGAGAAGCAGAAGGCAACTAAGAAACCGGAAGCACCTAAGAACCCCGAAACACCTGGAAAAACAGAAGTACCTAAGAAACCGGAACAACCTGAGAACACGGAAGCACCGGGCACAGCAGGTGTGCCGAAGAAACTGGAACCACCTAAGAAAACAGAAGTACCTGAGAAGCAGGGAGCATCTGCAAAATTAGATGCAACTAAGAAACCGGAAGTACCTCAGGACCAGGCAAACTAAAAGTACCCTAGAAACTAAAATTACCGAAGAATACATTACTAACTTGCGTACTCTACTCCTCGTAGGCAGCTTCAATGTTACACTATGCTTCTATGTATTTCGTAGATTTACCTTTTTATAACACTTCGCACTATTTGTATGACAGGGTTTATGCATATTTGTCATACTTATCCAGTAGGTGCATCCTAAATTACACTGTTGTCTATGTTTTTCCAATATATATATAGTTTGCGCATATATAATGCGGCTTGTTTATGTAATTAATTCTTCATTCATATTATCAGTAGGTAACCCGCTGCGAACGGAATGCATCCTTTTTTTACATAAATATATATACATACATATATAAATGTGCATATATATATATATATTTGTACATTCATAACTTAAAATTTGTTACATCATACATGTAACATACATGATGCTATAATTACCATAATATCTACCTGCATCGGGTAATTCTTTTGTGTAATATTAAAATTTTCCGTTTTCTTTCATTCACAATTTAAGAACATGAAGTCCTGAACTATGCTTAACATCATAAATCAAAACGAAAAAAGTATGATTTATTATTTTGATGAACACATCATATAGAAACCTATGTTCTTAGTTCCTGCTCTTATTCAAAGTCTACTGCGTAAATAATCATATCACGTGACGACTGCTCAGAAGCTGTTGTCTACTTCAGAAATATTCCTTAGCCATGAACAATTTCTACGACAACATACGATATACTTAGAAAAATATATAATTCTCAGGAGGCTTCCAAATAGAATAAACTGAGTTTGCATTTATTTTGTACATATTTTATTCACAAGAATAAGAATTTTTCCTTCTTATATATTTCACAAGTTATATAGCATTCATCAGTGTACATCATTGTATCATCGAATCATTCCAAATGATAAAGACAATTGAATTAAACCGAACACACTAATTTGTTCGTTCCGCTTAAAAGTACGTTTTCCCTATTTCCTTTTATCAACATAGAAATTAAACCAAATTTCCAAATATCCATAAAAAAATCCTTATAAATACATCGTTCCCAGAATTGTTCTAATCTTGAAAAAAACTAGACTCCATCACTTCCCTAGTTTTAAAATAATATGTTACCGTTCATTACAAATAGAAAGGTGTGCTCAATGTCTACGTTTAAAAATTCGTACCTATTATTAAATGATCAATTCCTCTTCCTCCAAGCAAGTGTACACATGAAAAAGGCCCCCCCCCCTCAAAAAAAAAATAAAAATAAAAACCCTTCTTTACATGAAACAATACACTATTATAAAATATATTACTGCTTCCACATAACCCATCTGTGCCTTCCACATGACATGGTCTATTGGTACATTCATGATATATAACCATTGGATAATTTAGGATGGCATGTATATTTTATTTTTCTCCCTAGATTTGTTTCACAAGAACGCGAAATTGTTGTAGCTCCATGTTTCTAATTAGCAATGATAGCAACTGTATACCAATTAAAGCTTCACAGTTTTATAACTATTAAAAAGTATACACACCTATTAATTACCACAATAAATTCAATTCTGATATGAAACTGTCACAAATGGAATCATTCATAAGCAATACATATTTAAGGTAATAAGTCATTCCTTTAACTTTTTCACAATTATAAAATACATTTACGTATTCTATTTTTCGATGTATTTATTCCATAATTAATAATAACATATATGTTTCTATAATTTTAAAAAGTAATTTTAAACTTCATTCTACTACGCTTCACGCTAATGTATTCAGCAATATTAGCATTCCTTCACAAACTTCATTCTTCTTGTTTTTGCCTTTTCCCATATATTAAGGAGCTAAAATATACCAATATTTCTTACAGTAACACATTCGTCCATACTAGTACTTATATTTTCTGCAAATTACACATATAATTCGCTAATGAAATATCAAAATGAACTGAATTCTGTTACTTTCCAACAAATAAAAACAAAAGACCTTAACTCACATATGTTTTCTAAAAATATACTCTTAATATACATGTAAAAATTCTCCAATTTACTAAGCATGCTGGTTGCGCTATACACATTAAGTCCACGTAAAACATATATTTCATGCCTGAAGGGATCATTCAAACACAACCTTATTGGAACTAGTTACTATTACGATGTTTTCTAATTATTGTTCTTTATTTCCCCCCTGCAGCACATGAAACTCATTTTTCTATTGTATATATACTCCTTAAAACAGTAGAAACATTCTATTAATGCTGAACACAAAAAAAAAAAAAAAAAAACGAGTACACATAATATAATTAAGTACATAATTTTATCTACTAAAATTAATACATTCATAAAAAATAAAGTAATTCTCTATTGAATGAATTAACACAATGATGATATAAATTTTTTCTTTCTTGCTTTCATTTATTCATCTTCGCTCATAAAAAATAAATGAGTGTAATAATTATAAAGTACACATGCCCTTTAATTTCTAAGAACTATTATGTGATATCCTATTATTAAATTTTCAAGTAGTTAAATTGTCCTTCTAATATTCGAAATTCTTTGTTTTTCCGATTTTTCCTACTTGCTTGTTCTTTTAATAAAATTATAATTATTCAGTAAAAAGGACGCTATTAGTTTTAACCATTAACACAAAAATGTAATATATGTACAAATTTATTATGGCCATGCTCATAAATTAGTTTATATATATATATATGATAGAAAACGATAAAACTATTTTCATGTGCAAATATATATACTAATTTCATGCATAGCGCTTTATTTTTACCCTAACACACCGATTTATTCTATAATTAAATATAGAACCCTTTAACACCGCGTTGTTCACACTTACAATTTAGATGTGCTCTTAGTCACATTTTAGCCTCCTCCTCAAATTTCTTGTATTGTCAGCACATAAAAAATTTGCCCGGATATACTTCTGTTTTTCTAATTTTCTCTTTGGCTTATTATTCTATAAAACCGTTTTTTAATATATATAAATGTACACCGATGTGTTTATTACAATGAGCAAATATATAGAACTAAACATAATTATACTCGCTTGTGTGCAAATATTTGTGTACCAAAATTTAACAACATATTTAAAGAAAATCATGCGCCATAAAATAATTATATAGAAATATAAAATGGTACCTCCAAGATCAATTGCCCTATTTAAGTTAACCTCTACCTTAATTTTAAGTATCATTCCTACAGTAAGATGGAAATATCGCATATATATGTATATATATTCATATATATGTGCACAATTCATAAACGCTCCTTAACCTTTTATATTAATATCAAAAAGAAACATTTTTTTTTTTTTTATAACACATTTCACAATTTACGTAGTCACTTCAAAATGGAAGCAAAGAAGATAAATATTGCGCACACAACACATTAAATATGGAAACAGTAGAAATAGAAAAAACAGATGAATGGAAAGAACACGAGTGGAATAAGTGGAAATTAGAATTAGAAGTTAATTGGACACAGTTTCATTTATCATTAGTAGAAGAAAAAAACGAGTACATCCAGGATATAACAAAGGACTGGAATGAATGGATGCAACACATGCAACATAAATGGACGCATTATATTGAAAATATGGATGAACCGTATAAAGCTTATATTCTAGAAAAATCATTAACATGGAATAATGACGATTGGGACAATTGGATTAATACCGAACTTACAGGATTCATTGATAACGACTGGGAAAATTGGATTAATAAAATAGAGCCACAGTTTTACAGATCGATAGAGAATACATGGATCCATTGGATGAGCTACCAAATCATGACATGGCTCAATAGAGATTGGAAACATGACGAAAACATACACTGGTTAAAGAAGGAACGTATAGAATGGAAAATGCCTTCGCAGGTACAAAATACAGGAGGGTGGCTTAAATGGAAAGAAAGAATGTACAAACAAAGTCTAGAATGGTTTAATTGGGTACAGGATAAAGAGAAAATAATTGAAAATATTAAGTGTAGCAGTTGGATACGATGGAAAAATGACAAAAATAAAATTTTTAATCAATGGAAGGAATCATTTCTGAATAATTTGATACGTGAACAACAGTGGAATAGGTGGAATAAAGAAAGAGAATAATACATGTTGACAAAAGAAACACACACATGAAAAAAATACAACTAAAAAATCAGCTACAATGAAGGCTTCCGTCAAACAAAAAAAAAAAAACCATATAAAAACGAATCTTCTATTAGAAAAGCGAAAAAATATTGTAAAACCTTAATATGTATTTGAATACCGAAATATATTTCATACAACTCTTATAGTTAAGAAATAATTCTGTTATATAGAAGAATTATATAAAATAAAACGTGCTTCTAGTTCTATAACTGTGAATGTTACTTAAGAATATATAAAAAGGCAAATAAATAATTATATAGAAAACAGGGAACGCATACACATATTCTTCCAACATAACAATATGTACCAATTATTTTTAAATTTATATATTATGAAAATATTTATATATAGTTCCGGTTTGACCTTTTATATAAATACACATATAATTTCTTCTCTTCCACATTTTAGTATAACATACTGTTAAATATACTTGCTGGCTTGCCCTTATCATGTATTATAAAAAAATATGTGTATAAATCATAATATGCTATACTTATAACTCTTTCGTATATTATTCATACATTCATACGTGTATAGTTATTTAAATACACTAAGACAAAGTTCCTACAATATAGGCTACTTTGACAATAAGAAATTCTTCCTCAACTTAATTTATGCCTTAGTCAATAAACAGCTATTTTCCTATTAAAATTATTAAGAGTGTATGTTATATACACACGCTACAGAAATATTTATTGAGGCTTAATCTTTATATAACACACACCAAAATATATCTTTCGGTCATTATGATATCGTTTGTTTTCCTCTTATTTTGCTAATGTATACACCCCAACAAAAAAAAGAAAACATACACATGCACTGCACTGCAACATTTTTCATTCATGATCCATTATGCACACATATACAAGATATTTTTGTGGTTACCGTAATTTTGACTACTTCCCAATACGAAATATATGCGCACAAATTATTAATTCTCTCGCTGCTTTATAATGTTCCATCATACCACATATATCTAGGACATAGCATCTATAATTACTTAAAATCATCCTATAATAATTTTATGCATACTACTCTTGTCACATTTAAAGAGTGGTATATGTACATTTCTACTTCCTTACTTTTGCGAAAGCTACAATTCTTACACACTACTATCCTCATAACTGCGTCACGTCTAAATAATTCATCAACTCTCATCTATAATGATAAATCACATCCTTATATTTTCCCCATTTCGTGTCTACAATGCAAAAACAACACACACTCAGTTATTATTTTTCCTCCCGTGTATAAATCTGTGCTACAATAGAAGTGTGCCGTTTTTGTCAAACTATCAATTTTTCATGATATTTGTGGACACATGATTATTTCAATATGTTACTATAGATCTGTTCTTACCCTTACAACGAAAATAACTTCATCTCCTAGCTCCCATAACTTCTCTTATATTGTCCTATCCATTAAACACCATGAAATTATAAAGGGCATATAGTGCCCTGTAATAACTCTCCCCAGGACACCTGTCACATCCTTATTTTACCGTTAAAACCAAATAGTATAAACAGCTCGACACTTACTGTTCTAATGGGTTGCATATAACCATTAAAATAAATAATATATATTCATAACCGTTGGCACATTCATTATTTCTTTCTCGCGTTCTTATTAGACTTTACATTCAGGGCTCCCCCTATTCATTTTAGACCTATGGCACCCTTAATTAGTACTATCATTCAGTACCCATACCTGTTATGCTCCTATTACCTCTTATTCACAGGATTTATGTCCGCTACACCCTTGCATAGCATTCCTTTGTATAATAATTAGTGAGTATCCAAATAGGACGCGTTCTGCATCCTCATGCATTATACTCATACGTATAATGAATCATCCACACATCATAGATGCCATATCTCTCGTGAACAATCATCCTCATTTTCCCTTTTTGTAGTTATTTTGAATAAAAAAAAAATAAACTCATAACACTTTTTTAATAATAAGTAGAATGCTAATTACCCTATTCAACCTGAACCATTTCATATGTGTAATTAAAAATTTGTAACACGCTTAAGATCCTTTTAATAATCGAAATTTCAAAATATAAATTGCAGATTTTATAGTCAGTTTATGCCTAATAATGCCCACAATAAGGTGAATCCATAATAATTTCTTCGTCCGGTAAAAAAAAATTATTTAATTGCTCTACCTTCAAACACACACACTTATTTATCATCACTGGTAACAACTGAAGTAAACTGCATTATACCATTTTAAAAAAATTCACACTCTTCAGCTTTCAGGTTAATTTATTTTCTTTCTTGCATCGTCGCGTTGCATTTTCTGTTCCCTTAAATCCCGCTCATATTATTCGAAGTACAATGATGCTAGAAATATATGAACCATAACATAAGCCCTTGAACCATACACTACCCAATGGAAGTATAACAAAATAGAACTTACATTTTAACTTCTTTATCGATAAAAAAATGAAAACTCCCTTAAGACCACCTGTTATAAATTCTACATTAATATAAATGTAACTTCTTACGGTACAATCTATTAATATTTTCGTTTATAAATACCAGGTGAGAACAAATAGGCCCATAAAACCAGTCCTGTTCTACTGAATGTTCAATGCCACTTTAGCCAAGTGTTGCCCTTTTCTTTTTTCTTTTTCTTTTTCATACTAAAAAACACTTCACACCACACACTTCTAAACACAAGAGAAACGTTCAATGAATAAAATGAAAAATTAATAAAATAAACAAATTAACGCATAAAAATTAATTAAAACAAATTGATACTTATAGAAAAATGAAATGTGCTTATCTGAAAAAGCAAGTTCATCCATAATATGTTATGGTTGCAATAAATTAAAAAAAAAAAAAAAAAAAAAGGAATCAACCGTCTAAATTACTTCATTCCTGGTAATGATAAGTTATTACGTACTACGGGCTTGCTCACACATAGAAAATTATTCCTTACGCACAATTAACACACTACTCAATTTAAAAGGTACTGTAATTTTAAGACCCCTTTTTTTATTGTAATTGTAACGAGAACACATCAAATTTGCATCTATTCGGTGTAACTATTATCTCCCTGAACAAAAACAAAGTACAAATAAAATATTTATAACCGAATATATAACAACTAGCTCAATAAATATAATAGAGCTAGTGTGTAACTAACATGCACTCTGCAGATAATTTTTAAACCACTTCAGTTAGGCATAGAATGGTTCTTTCCAACGGGGGGAATGAAACTACACACAAAAAGGTTTATTCACTAACAGATTGTGTTTCTTGCCTAATTTTGTTTTAACATTCAAACTTTTTATTGTGCATTTTTTTCCAACCGCATTTCTTCTGTTTCTATTTTTTTTTTTTTACAATATATTTCGTAAAATTCATCATAGAGCTAAGCAGCTATCATTTCCGTTTTCGTCTTTTTTCTTTTATACTCTAAATTATTAAGCTACACGAAATGCAAAAAATATATATTCAAACACATCTCACATTCTTATTATCCCCAAAATTGAATAGAGAAAAATAAGAAGTATCTATGACATCAAATATAACAAAAAATTAAAAAAAAATGGTTTCTCCCAAATCTATTATTTTGTTTGTTTTATCGTCTGCTTGCCTTCTAAGCGATATTTCTCCAGTAATACAGAGATAGCACACATATGCATACAAAATTCCCCCTTTTAATTCCTTTTTAACAATATAAATATATGCTCTAGGAAGTAAAACTTGTAAATTCTCTTAAACTCTATTTCCTCTCACCACTTTTCAGTCCATTCAATATGAACACAGTAGCTCCACTCCGGATTTAACGAATCCAGTCGAAGCGGAACAAGAATATGAGGCGAATAACGTTAATTTGATAGAAGAACAGAATAAAAACTGGATGATGAAACTGGAAGGTGAATGGAAGGATTTTACCTCTTCTTTGGAAAATGACAAAATCATATGGATCCAAGAAAAAGACAAAGAATGGGAACAGTGGCTAGAAATAATGCAGGAAAAGTGGACACATTTTGACAAAAACTTGAATCCAACATACAAAAATTATATTTTGAAAAAATCTTCAGAATGGGATAATGTCGATTGGGAATACTGGGCCAACACAGAATGGCATGAGTTAATGGAAAAGGATTGGAAAAATTGGATGTATGGAAACAAGTTGAGTTTGAATAAATTAATAGATAATAAATGGATCAATTGGAGTAACGAAAAAATGGCGGAGTGGCTAATTCAAGAGTTGAATGATGAGAAAGGTTCCTATACACAGACAACACAAAATGGAGAGTTGACCAGCACAGAAGAAAATAATGAAAATGTGTCCAGCTTGAATAATAAAATATTTAGTAAAAATGAACAGTGGGAAAATTGGACTGACAAAAAAGAGAAACTAATTAAAAAAATAAAGAATTCTATTTGGTCAGAATGGAAAAATAATAAATATGCCTCGTTTAACCAATGGAGACAGTGCTTTATTAAAAAATGGATAAGGGAAAAGCAGTGGGAAATAATGGTTAACAATGAGGAAAATTAGCTTCCAAATCAGGATTATTGCTATAAGACTAATGGAAGTATTAGAACGAACACCACATTTCTTCCACGCCACCAAGTACTCATTTAAATAGTTAATATGTACGCAAATAGAAGGTTAAAAAGTACAATCTTATATTTAATTGCCCATAAAACAACAATTTTTAAAAATCCTCTTCCTCCATGATGGATGACAAGAATAAGTAATATTAAATTTCCATAAAAGGACACATGCGCCTGTATATATGTACATACCATATTAATAAATACACATCCATAAGATACACACTTTTCGAAGTATCGCCCTCCTTCCCAATCGAACTGGGCTATTATCTGTCACTATAAATTTAGCTTCAATAAAATTCATAACAGAAATCTACACATAGCAAACATTCGAATGCTGTCAGTGCGTACAACCACTATTACATTTTTGCGAAAAAGTTTAAAACGGATAATAATAGAAGAAAGGAAAATAATCATTTACACATGCAGAGGCATCCTTTGAATTTGTTCCTTATAAAGGATTAGAGTCCTGTACTTTATTGTGCAGTATTTAATATGCTACATTAAATTCATATGCCTCATTTTTTGTCCTCTTTATCTTAAAAAGACATATTTTATTCACAATTCGCTGTTTCCTCCATTTCTACTTCTTTACATATGCATCATTTACAAGACACAAAATTTTTTTTGAAATAGTTTCAACAACATCCGTTTATATATACTAATAACAGGACCATACATTTGTATAATATTAAAAAAAAATTAAGTACCGTTAATTAATAATTTGAAAAAAAGAAAATAATTTTTTTCAGTCCTGTATCATAGGACAGTAACAGAAGTATAGCAGGTACAATTTGTATTTGAAAAATGATACTATATAATACAAGCAATAACACAAATTGCGTTCTACTTTTCTACTTTCAATATTATATGACTTAATCTTGGGAAATATGGTCTTCTCTTATTATGCATTAGTTATAGAAAAGTATTAATAAGTCAATAAATATTACTATGAAAAAACTTCTTTGACACACAGCTTGTATCATTGTCGATGACAAACAACTGTACATAACTTCACTGATATGAACTATAATTGCAAATATGTAATCTCCCAATTCTTATTTTACACATAGAAATGATAACAATGTGAGAACCAATGTATGAATATTAGCATCCCATGGTAGTGACGCAATTCCATAAGCATTTAACGAGAAGAAAAATAAAATATGTATTAGTTCTGACCTTTCTGTTTTATTTGATCCATCATAATTACACAGGATCATGCTTAAGAACATTCACGCAACCATGCAGACGATTATAGATCAATAATACCTGCAAAAAATTACAAATTTTCTTTTGCTATTTAATAAATATCATTATACATAGTGAAGCTCCTATTTTGGTAACATTCCTTTAGCATCGAAAAAAAATAAATGTAAACAGACTCGCATTTTCATAAATGAACTCGAAAAAAATGTGTACTCCATGTACTTATCATTTCTTAGCAAACAAATGAGATATATCAACATGGAATAATTGCTATTCCTTAGTGAAAAGACCTACTTCCATTTTGTATAACAAAGGTTTTGCATATAAGAGTCAACTCCATCATGCATAAATATATAAAATGGTTAAATAATTGTACTATTAAGGAGAGAACAAAGATATTTTTCACCAACTTTTTTACACGTTGATTAATGCAAAATTTCTCTTTTTCTTAATATTATACAACACATTTTTAATTCGCTTAATATGTGTGTAAAACTCATAAAAAGAGGCAATGTTACCGTGCTTTAATACTTCCTGAATGCTAGGTAACTAAACTACTGATTTAATAGTGCCCTTAAGAATAAGGCCATGATACTCATATTTATTTTGATATATGTTGATTTCCTGAAATGCACATCCATGTGTACAATGCTCAGTGCGCACACAACACAGTAAACATCATTTGACAATATTTGAGTATAACACAAATAGTAATAATAGTGTAATTAACTCATTAAAGGATAAAAACTGACTACATCATCATGCACGTGTTTTTAAAGAAAGTTCCAATTACGAATGTTACTCCGTGATATTTTTAACGTAATCACTATTAAAATAATGTATTTTTCGAAGTAGCCATATTAAATAATATTAAGTTTTCTGATAATATAATTAAAATTATATATACATATATCATACTTTATCCAAATCGTTTTACAAGACGAGACAGGATTATCTTGTACATATTTTATTTGTAAACGAATAAGAGAATTTTTTAATTGTCCAAATGTTCATGTGTTACTGAAACAATTAAAAAAATTATAAACATGATAGAAAGGTAAAGACATAAATTAACTAAATAATTAAAAAAAAACAAAAATGTATTAATTAATATTTAACAAATTAATAATAATGAATGTGTAAATGTATAGTCAATATATCTGTACATACATATCCACATATAACTTTTATTGATATATATATGCAATATCATGCAAGTGTAGAGTCATGCATTTTTTGCACTTCCCGTATAATAACAGGTTTAACAATTTGAATATTACAAGAAAAAAAAAATATATACAAATATTTATATATTTTTAAACAAAAAATTAAATTGCAAACAATATACTTTCATATTGTAATGTGGAAGGGACACATGCATAATTCGTATTAAGATTAAGCATATATATATTTTTACTTGTATTGTACGAAATTAATTGTGTACATTTTTTATACCTCATAACAACTAATAATTAAGAGAATCAATCATAAAAGCTAAAATATTACTCAATTTTTGCACTTCGGGGGAGTCCTCTATATTTTCCTTTTCAGATTTTTCCCCTTCGGGACATTCCTCCTGTTTTTCAAATTTCAATAAAAACTTTTCCAAGAGACCTATATATTCCTCAATACCTGGCTTTTCAATTCCTTTCCTCTTAAATTGATATTTTATCGATCTCTTTATATTTCCTATGAAAAATGAAATACCCATCATTATTAATATACCAGAGCCATATGTTCCTACAGAACCCAGTTGTGTAATACCTATTCCTAGTGCAACAATCATAATGGGTATTATGAAGAAAAAAGCTTTATAAGTAATATTTATCATCTGATATTTATTTTTACTAATATTTGGATCCTTCTTATATTCGTCTACCTTAGCATACACCTTGAACATAAGTTTCTCAACATGCTTCTCCAATTTTCTATTCACCGTATCTATCAACATACCTATAATATTTAATACTGACAATATCTTCTTTATTTTTTTCAAAATAAGCATAAATTGTTTTTTTCTTTTTTTTTTAGTATTCGTTGACATAAGGCCCTTATCATTATTTTCATCTTGATCAAATTCCTCATCGTCGTCTTCTTCTGCCTCTTCTTCTTCTTCCTCCTCCTCATCTTCCTCCTCCTCCTCCTCATCGTCCTCCTCATCATCATCATCTCCTTCTCCATCAAAGTAATCTACACATTCTGTTCGTATAAGGTTATCGACATTGCATAACAGCTTATCTTTAACTTTCCGAATTTCCTCTAGTATAAGCTCTATTTTTATTATTCCTTGTTTTTCTACTTTTTTCTCTAAAAAAACCTCAATATTTATAATTCTATTTTTTGGCCCTTTACACTTAATTTCTGTATCATCATTTCCCTCATTAACTTCGTAAATTAATTTATCCCCACCTGTGTTGTCATCCCCCTCACCCTCTGCTTCCAATACTTCCGTAGTTATTTCATTGTCACTTTTCCCATCATCACATTCGGATTCGACTATCGCGTCTGCATCTGTCTCAGTTAATTCATTTTGGCTTCTACGGTCATCGCTCTCTCCCTCTACTTCTTCAGCCATTTCATTCTCGCTCTTCTGACCCTGGTTATTTTCCTGTTCTTCTTGGTTCATATTATTTTCACCGTTTAATTCACTTATAACTTGTATTTTCCCGTTTTTTCCTCCTCCCCTTTTTAATTCATCTCCAAATTTTAAATTCAAACCTTTCACATCTTGGCTCTTCGATGAATTCCCTCTTTTTACCTTTCCCAGATTTGCTGCTTCATTGTCTGAATTATCTCCACTTCTTAGATGAACAGTTTTTTTCTGTTTATTATGTCCTACCTGTTTTTTTATATTTTCCTCATCTACCGTATTAATGAATTCGTGTTTGGCTAATAATCTATTACATCTTGGATTAAGTGTGGTATCTATGCTGTGACCCGTATCTAATGCTTTACTAATGGTTCCCTAAGTGAAGTTTAAAGCAAAAAAGGATCATTATGAAAAAGAGTTCACAAGCTAGCAAATATGTAAAAAGTATTATTCTTAACAAGAACAACAACGGAGGGCGTTATAATAAACAAAAATGTTATCTATACCTCATTGTTCCAATATAGACATATCCAAAGGAAAAGGGAAAGTATAAGAGTTTTCTTAAAAAGGAAGCAACTACTTTTTTCTTTGCTCGGCTTGTCCTTTAACGTAATCATATTATCAATGGACACAGTATTTTAAATTGATTTTTAAATTATAAACCATCGAACGTAAGGCTACAATTACGTTATTCTCCTTTCATCATTTTTTTTTTTTTTTTTGTATAAAAAATGTAAAATAAATATATGAATTATTAGTACATGCGTAGTGTATATATATGGTTATATATGTATACATATACATGTATATTAATCGTATAATACGTAATGGGGTGACAAACAAGACGGGGTTCGTCAAAAATGTACTACTCAAACATTCGTACAAAATGCTTCTACAACAAGACAACTTCGCCTAGAATCATGTATGTAATAATGGCTTCATAAATAACAATACATATATATATGTGCATATGTATACATATATACGTATCAGTCCTTATATAGAATAACCATGAAAGATACTCTTCCTCTAGTTATTCAAAAAAAAAAAGTTGTATGCTATATTTATCATATAGTATTTAGGTAAAATGTACTTGTACAAATATGCAAAATTGTGGCTTAAAAGAATTTCTAAAAAATATGTTACCTAACATTCAAAATCACAATGTCCTACATATTTTTACTACGACATTAGTTTTTATAAATAAACAAATAAATATCATTAAATTATACCAATATAATAAGAATCATAAACAGCAAAAAAAATAGTAAATTTTTATTAAATTCGTTATCTAATTCTTATTCTAAAAAAAAAAAAAAAACTAGGTTAAAATAACCAAGTCCTTACATTATGTTGTAAACAAATGAGACATATATTAAAAAGAAAAAAGAACATTTGGTATTTAAAACAATGTTGACGGGAATTGTTTCTTCACTTTTTGGCTTCATTATTATTTAATACTACAATTCGCATCTATAATTTGGAATGTTGTTTTGTACTTTTCCATAAAATGAATACATATATTATTCATCATGTATTAAATATAACTCGTAAAATAAAAAAGAATTCGTAAATTGAGAACAGCGTGATTTGTTCTTCTTTTTTTACGTATGAAAATAAATTCATCTCTTACACTCAAGAGTTTAATAATGAAAAGAAAATGTCTGAAACGAAATTTACGGAGGACGACATAAATTCAATAACAGTGCATAAAAAATTTCGAAAAAATCTCCTCAAATAAAACAAACAATATGTTTAACCAACAAATAATAATAATATGCAACACAAATATATTTCCTTTTAAATATGCTATAAAATAAATATCAGCATAATTTTGCGAAGTTGCTGTCTTTGTAATTTTTCCTGATTTAAATTTCAAAAAAATTTTCATAAATTTAGGATCATTTTTAACAGCATAAAAATATACAAGTATAACCATTTAAGAGAAAAAAGAAAAAACATAATTTGTTGACTAATATGCAACAAACGTATGAAAAAAAATAAGCACTCACAATAAATTTATGTTTTATATGTACATGTTTAACCATAATTTCTATTTATATATGCAACTCCGCAAATTGTCTCCCTAATTAAACAATTGCTCTAACGAGAAACATTGGTAGCATTTTTAAATTACCCGCAAAAAATGTTGTTTTCGTTTCCTCGCAAGTGGCTATTTTGTGTATATAAATTTAGTAGGTATAAAATGAGCAAAGAAAATTAACATATTTTAAAATGCTTCCTTTTATTTTTAAGAAAAAAAAAAAAAATCGTTCTACAATTTAGGGTAACTATTCCTTGGTTTCACTAAACATATAGTCATGGTCTCATTTTGCATGATGCTTAACTTTTTCTGTATTCACTAAATCAGGCTCTATATGGTGATACCATTTGCTTTGAACGCACGTAGAAAAAGTGCAAAACACATTTAACAACTTGTAAATGCATTCAACATTAATTTATTACATAAATGAAGTAAATTACAAAAAAATATGTGATATATTTTTAGCAACAAATTTGCAGATTCGTCTTTATCTGCTAACAGATTTAATCACTCTATATAGGCGTTCACCTTTACTAAACCTTTTGAATATTCTAATTTTGTTTCTCTTTTCAATACAAAATAAAGTTCGTAAAAATGATCTATACATTTATGTGTTCACAAAATGTGGTAGTGTAATTCATAAAAAATGTGCATTTACTTTTAACGAATTTAATTTTTGTTTGCACATGACTTTTAATTAAAAAAATTTACAATACCTATATAACACATATATTCATTGCATTTCATAACATCCTATTGATTTATCAATTATAACCTTTATAATTATATTATACCCTACTGCGAAGCTTACTATAATTCTTCATCAGAATCAAATAATTTTTATCTAATCCGATTATAAAATAAAATGTAATTCATATTTTAACTGTTAATGATGGTATGCGACGCAGCTCAGTTTTTATGGCTACATTTTTGCTAAGAATAAAAGTTTCTCTTAATTCTAAATTTTTTTGTGGCATGTAATATTTCGCAGGATTAATTACAATCAAAAAGTAATTGGCCTATGTTAGTGTCTACAAAAGAATGTGTATTTATGTAGTGTAAATTTTGTCCAAAAAAAAAGAATTAACAATCCCTAATTCTTAAAATTGTTGTTAATTATCAGTGAAGTGACAATTTTCTGTTCTCATAAATGTTGCACATACAAGCTAATCCTCCTCCCATTTTCTGTGCAACTAATTACAACGAAAGTGGGAGAGGTTCTTATGTGGTTAGTAAAACCAACTTAAGTTATGACAAGCGTATAATTTTCACTCAGAGAGAAGTATCAATTTCACTCATAGCTTCAGCATTACATGAAAGCAGGTTTTATTAATTAAATGTAATAAACATGAGTTACTCACAGATGTCTTGCAACTAGAACTGCGAATTTTTTGTTTTTCTTTTTATGATACAGTTAAAACGTTCATGCAAATAGAAGTCAATGTATTGGTTCTATCCCATAGTAGGCGAATAAACAATTCAAAATATGCTATCGCTCCTGGGTTAGGAGTGTATACATATGAAACATTACTTGTTTTAATCTTTATACAAAATGAGGAATCTTAATTTGGAGGTATCAATCTCCCTTTATTATTGCCACTAACACCATCGCGCATTTAGTACAACGTGATCCAAACAGCTAGCTCGTATGCGAAAAGATAAATGTGTTCCTAATCGTAGTATACATATGAAATTCATAAGCATCGTACTGTCATTAGTGGAGTGTACATATAGACACATATACACGTTTACACTTATTAATTCATGTCATTATACTCAACGTTAAGCGAATTCTTCTATGGGTATGTAATTGCCATAAAAGGGAACAAATCAGAAATGACTCCCTAAGAACCAATAGCATATGCCTATATCTCTAACGCAGTTAATGCACCCTTCTAAGGAGGATTAAAATAGAAACAGTAATTTTCTCTACCTTTAATTATTTTATCATGTGTGTATTAGGGTCACATGATAAGAGGGCGTACCGTCAAAGATGGGCTGCTCTCGGTTCCTCTCTCAATTGAAATTCATTACCACAATAAATCGAGTTATTACCTAACAGAGCTAATCAACCACTCTAACGAATATGCTCAAGGAAATAAATTTATCTAATGCCTGTAAATATTTTTATGCGTGCCGTGGCAGATTAACAAAAAAAAAAAAAAAAAAGTAAAAACGAATGATCCTTCATAAACCTATTCCCATCGTCTAGGACTCTTCACGCGGCCGCAAGGCAGAATTGTCTACTAAATATTCACATTTCATAAAAAACGAAAAACAAAGCCTTTTCGTCCTACTGAATAGAAAACAAGGCGTATTTATAATTAACACAAAAACATGAATAACACATCTGATAAATAAGCTTCGAAGTAATCAATTGAAATAAAGAAAATTACCACAAAAAAAAAAAAAAAAAAAAGGAAATAAGGGAAAACACAATTCGAATAATTTCATTCGTAACTTCCTTCTTATAAGCACCGTGTCTCAATTTTTGTAACCACGCTTTTTAAAAAAGAAAAAATGTCATTTTTAAAAAATTAAAAAAAAATGCAACTAGTTAGTTTCCTTTAAGTTAAAATAAGAAGTAATCTTAATTAACTTTAGAAAAGTAAAAAACAAAAAAATCAGATGAACACACTTGGTGACGACAAATATAGATTATCAAACGAGTCAACGCCGTTGTAGCAACTTGTACTTAACAGAAAAGTATATTGCACAATTGATCATATGTGTATATTCCCACATATGCCTGCAAATTGCGCAAATTATGAAAATTGGGGTGGAGCTTAAGTAAACACTGGACATGCCACACGTGTAAGCTCAACAAAAAGTCATTGGGATAAACAAAAAACAAAATAAATAAATAAAATAAACATTCAAATTTGAAACAAATTAAACAAAGGAGAATTTTCCCAAATTCTCACAAATAGCTAGATATGACCAAGTAAATGTCAGGGGCTCAAAAATATTTATATAGACATGGAAAAACGAACTAACAATTCATATGATGTATCCTATAAATGTTTTCACGTAATCCATGAAATGAGGCTTACGTATACCGGAACATCTCAAGTCATATTTCACAATCTTTACAAAGATGTAAATGCATGCTATAATGTTGAAGCAGCAAAATATAATCATCACCCAATGCAAACTTTCAACCGCCTTAAATGCAAGTCCCGCTAGGGCGATTATAAAGGGTAAGGCGAATGTACCACCGTATACCATAACTCTGACCAGGTAGCGTTTAGTTTTGCTAATATTTCGATTCCTGTCACATTTATCTACGTAACGCAATCCTTTAAATATCATTTTTTCTATTGCAGAATCTAACATGCCAATTGGGTTAGGTATGCCTGTTTTCGTGTTCGTAGTGTTTTTCATACTGTCTGAGGCGGGGAAAACAACATTGTTGTTTTTTGTTTTCATAGAATCCTTAATTTCTCTTGAGGCCTGCCCATCATCCTTTTTTTTAGGTACTTCTGTTTTCACTACCTCCTGATCGTTGAATTTTTGCTGCATCTTCTTAATTTTTTCAAGTACTACATCTACTTCCTTTTTACATTCCACCCCATTCGTCACTTCTGTACTCAACGCTTTCTCTTTCATTGAGTCAGCCTTTTCGGCACTTTTTCTGTCCTTCTCTGTGTTATTTTCTGTATTAATCATTTTAACGTTCGTTATTTCCTGTTGTGGAGGATTTGGCAGTTCCTGATTTTGTGTTACTTTTTCATCTTGCACACATTTTAATATTTGTTGTTTCTTATTTTCTTCTAATATATGACTATCATCAGAATAGTTTAAATTTTGTCCATCCTGTAAGGAAATTCCTTTCTGCTTATCATTTGACGGGGACGCTTGATGCACAGCTACAACATTACTTGGATTTTGGCGAGTTGGCTCCTCATTTTTCGGGGTGCTCGATTCTAACTCACACACTGATTCAGGATGCGCCTGGACTTCTGCTAATAATAGTCTACTAGTTCTTAGTTGGTATGTTGCAGCAACGCTATTCGTCCTTTTTAGGTTTATACTACATGAACTCTAAAAAGAAAGAATTATAATGAGTGCATGATTGTCAATGAGAGGAAATGTGTTAATGTCCACATCATTATGAAGAATTGTATGCTTTTAAAAAAAAAAAAAAAATGTACATGATGTTGAAATGTTATTATACATATAATACCTACCAAGCTATTATTATACTGATACACTAATAGCAAAATGAATAACATAAAAAATTTCAACAAAATGGCTAACATGATATATTTTTTTTCCCCTAATTTCTGTTTCCTTTCGTGTTCTTTGCCATATATGTAGCTATGATGGAGGGTACTTCCATTATATACATAAAAGTACCTTTGTACGTATATGCAAATACTCTACATACTCATATTCACATATAGAAGATATAGATACATAGTTCTATAGATATATATGTCATAGAGATTTTTCTTTTTTTTTTTTTGTTGTGACTTTTTAAAATTGCTTATTTATGTTAGCCACATAAGTTTTTTTTCTTTTCATCTATCTCAATTTTTTTCATGGTATATAGTAAAAAAGACTCTTACATTGGGCTTTACACAAGTATGTAAATATAATCCTGACAGTTAAACATGTACAAATTTATGCATTCCCAAAAGGAAAAGGTATTTTAAAAAAATTTATTTTTTCATTTTTTGCAAATTCGTAATAATATAGAAACTATTTTTTAATAATTAGTACAATATAATATCAACGTAATTTTAACTAGTTGAAATTGCTACAACATGTTAACAAATAGATGAATTAATCAGTCGTTGAATTTTAAAACAGGGCAACATTTTTATATACTTTTTTCTTTTGCTCCAAAATATAATGTATTCCCACGGTTACCACTTAAAACCCTAAACAAACTAAAACAATTGAATTCGAAAATTACGAAAACGCATAATAAATATGTATATATAGACCACACGGGTGCCGTTGTGGATGAAGGGAATATTTAAAAGTGTAAAAATGGGTTAACTGTATTATACAACTTTATGCAAATTCTTAATTTGTAACGGGATACAACTTTAAGTGCACATGTATAGAAAGGCAGTTTTAGAGAAAAAAATATTTAACTACCCCTCTGAATGAGTAATTTGTGTTTACTAACAATATAGGTCAAAACAAATATTATACGGTTTTTTTAAAACTTATGTCAATATGTAGCATTATTATATGCATATAATTATCTTAAATCCATGGGATACAGTACACTATTTCATAAACGACCGTATTTTATTATATGTTTTTACAAAAAAAGCGGAAAACAAAATCTTAAAAAGTCATATAAGAATGTCGAAGCTAAAACCAAATGCCCTATTACACATTTTTTATTTCAAAAGTTTTAGTATAAAATGGGCTTTCCTTTTTTCTCTTTTTATTTTTTTCCCCTTTTTTTTTTCCTCTCCATCCATAAAAATTTTACTAAGCCATCATTTAGGGCCATATTTTATGTACGGCAAAATTTTTCTAATCCCTACGATGTTAATATTAAGCATATATCATATAATTTAGTACCTATAAAAACTCTACAAGAGCAGGAATTTTTTTTTTATTTTTTTTTTATTTAAATTAAAATTTAAAAATTAAAGTTTATAAAAATAGTTTAAAATATGTACCTGTAACCAATGGGTTGCCGGAACATACAAACTATGTTTTATGCACATTTGTATGTATTGTTAAAATTTGTGAATTAATCCACGAAATGTATATATATACTTATATTTCGATTTTAAAAAAATTACAGATTGGTTGGGGATGTGCACAAAGATGTATATACCAGAACACTCACTTTGCCTATATACAAGTTTGCGCTCTTATAAGTACATATATATGCGAAGAAGACGCAAAAGCAATGATTTCCTCCACGCACTTCTTACCACACATATATGAGCGCTAACTGGGAATTACACAAAAATATACATTCTCTATGTCCAATATTTACAAAATTGGTTGAAATAAAGTGTACGTGGAAAAAAAAGAAAGAAAAAAAAATATATATATATATATTTGGAGAAAAAAAAAAGTTGCCCAATTTGCCAGAGCGCACCTTTTCTGGGATACACACAAGTTAGTGACAGCCCCTATATGTAAACAAGTACCATAAAAAAAAAAAACTAAAATAAAAAAAAACATAATGATATGGTTCTTGCAGGCTTCTATTCTCCTTTCCATTTTTACCATATCGGGAGTTTCAAAAAGTTCGCAATTTTTCATGCAAATGAAGATATACACCCCCCGTATAGTACTATACGCAATAACAACACATTGTGTTCTTCTCTACCTTTCCCTATTTTTATTTTATCCTTGTACTCTAAAAAGCTAGTTCTTCGAAATGCGCTACAAACACATGCACAACTCACGTACAGTACACTATCACCCTGATTACTTCACCAGTTCGTTGTAAACAGCTTCAACATATTCTCTGAAGTACGACATATTGTTGTATGCGTCTATATAGAAGGAGTAGAATTTTCTCTTTTTATCCTTGTGGACCTTCATATCTATTTTCGACACGAAATATGTTACGGCAAAAATTGTTAAGCAAGATGATAGGATAGACATAGTCACAGCTCCAACCGCCAAAAATCCAAATGAACCCAGTGTTCCAGTGAAATATGGGATAGAGAATATTTTATATTTATTTATTAGTCTTTTCATCTTAACAAAAAAACCTTCATTAGCCTCAACAACATTCTGACCGCTTTCTGTACTTTCCATTAAATTATTAACTTCTTTATCTACTAGTTCATCCACTCTTATAAGGAAGTTCTTAACTGTAGTGTAATGCTTTTTAATCGTTTCAACATTTAATCCAATCATGTCTGAAAATTTTATTGCTGCATCTTTAAAGTTCTTAATAGATCTAAATATATTCTTCGCAAATAAAAGAACATCCGATATATTTTTTGCGGAGAATATACCTTGTTCTTCTGGTTTATCCTCCTGTATTTCTGTACTTGGAACTTTAGGTTTGGGTACTTGAACTTTACGCTTTGCTTTTTTCTCCTTCTGTGGCATCATAAAGGATTGTAGTTCTGGTGGTATTGGCATTTGTGGCATTCCCTTAACAGCACTTGCATCCAGTGCACCAGAAAATATATTCTTCAAAGATTCAATATCAGCTGGAGATACCCCTTTGTTATTGTCCATTACGCCAGGTACACCCTCCTGCAAACCTTGCATATTACTTAAATTTCCTAACATACTTGGATTAAATACTGCCTTTCCGGAAAATATATCTAAAAGGTTTTTCTCTAATTGTTCATTTACTAGAGCTTCATCCTCTTCTCCTTCTTGCTCCTCCGCTTCCTTCACAACGTCGACAGGTGCCTCTACTACACCTGTTTTGACTGCTCCTGCGGGGCCCATGGCCTGTTCTGTTTGTTCGTCCACTGCTCCTTGCACAACTTCGAGGGACTGTTTCACAGATTCTTGTATTTTTTTCATTTGTTCCTGCATGAGTTGGTCCATGGGCGGCACAGATTTATCTGCTTCTTCGTCCTCTTCTTCTTCTTCATCCTCTTCTTCTTCTTCATCCTCTTCGTCGGACTCCTCCTCGGATTCGTCGCCGTCATCCTCTTCTTCTTCATCCTCGTCTAAGAGTTCCTTTACCACAACAGCGGGTTTCTCTTCTACAATAACCTTTTCCTCCTCTTCCATCACTTCATCCGCAGCCTCCTTTACAACCTCCTGTACGGATTCCTCAGTAGCTTCCTCCTCCACGTCCTCCACAATCGTTTCTAGCGTGTCTCCTAAGTTATCTTCTACGGTGCGTTCTACAATTGTTTCCACAGATTCATCTGAAGTAGCTTCTGGAGTTTCTGGCACAATCTCTTCTATAGTTTCTCCTGCAACTTCATCCACAACTTCCTCAACAGTTTCTTCTACTGCTTCTGCCGCAGCCTCTTCTGTAATATCTGTAACAGCCTCTTCCACAGCTTCCAAGTTTTGTTCCACGGATTCTATAGCCCCTGCTGCAGTACTTGCAACAGGTACTTGTGTAGGTTCTGCTGAAATTTCCTGTACAATATCTTCAACACTTGCCGCAACAGATTCTTCTGTTACTCCTGGCACAGTTGTTCCTACAGATTCTGCGGCTGTGTCCGTCACAGATTGTGTAGCTTCTTCTAAAACTTGCTCTGCGGTTTCCTCTACGGATTCGTCAGCTATTACCTCTGCAACATGTTCTATAATTTGTTCAAACGCCTCCTCTATGGATTCTGTAGCAGATCCTTCTGCAACATGTGCCGCAATTTCTTCCGCTACTTCAACATTTGGTTCTTCCGTCACATCTTCGATAACCCCTACTACGGGCTCTACTACGGCTTCCTTAGCTAACTCTGCTGCGACCTCTTCCGCTGTTTCCTGCTCTCCCATACCTTCATCTTTTAATTCCGCCACGACGTCTACTAACGCATTCTCATTTAACTCTACTTTTTCTTGCACATTCTCTAATACACTTGCCAATAAATTTTCGCTGGCTTCTAACTTCTGCCCAAAGTTTTCTAACAAGCTTGCCTGCACTTCTGTTAAAACATCTAATGCGTGTTCATCCGCCCCCTGGGCTACACTTTCCTCCACACTTTCTGCTGTCGTTTCTTCCACATTTTCTAATACCTGTTCTTTTATTTCTTCTATAACATCAACAATGTTTTCCTCTGCGGCTACCTCCTCTGTACTTTCTGCTGAAATGTCCGACACATCTTCCTTAGTCTCCTCGGCCATTTGAATATTAGTCAACAAATCTTCTTTTATTTCTTCTAAATTTTCTAATACGCTCTCATTCACGTGCGCGCTATTTCCCAAACCCTGTATCATATCCACTAGCAAGTTTTTGTTGTCCTCTAGTTTTTCTGCTACATGGTCTAAAAATTCTTCCTTCATTTCTTTTATATGTTCTAATTCGTTTTCACTTGCTTCCTTATTTTCTTCTAAATTTTTCAATATATCTTCTGCAACAACCTCCGCGGCTGGTTCTTCTGCGCTTTCAAATACGGCTTCGTGTGCTTCCTCATTTACATCCAATTTGTCTATTATGCTTTCTTTTATTTCTTCTAATACGTTTAATATATTTTCATGCATTGCTTCCTTTTCTACTATTACTTCTTCGTTAGCCTGCTCTATAACTCCCTCCGCTGCTTTCTGTGTGTTATCTTCCTCAATCACCTCATCAGCAGCTTCTTGCACAACTTCCACAGCCTCCTGAACATATTCAACCGTTGCCGCATCCTCGGGCTCCTCTACGATTGCACCAGAAGGTTTCTCACTTGTCACCTCCTCCTCTAGGATTTCGTCAGCAGCTTCTTGTACAGCTTCTTCTACAACCTCTTCTATAGGTTCCGCAACATTGTTTTCTACATTATTAGACACATTATCCAATGTGCTGCTAACTGGTGCAACCGTTTCTTCTACATTACCACCTTCGTTCCCTCCCTGTTTTCGCTTTCGCAGGTTGTTAGTCATATCTTTACTTAAGTTTTCTTCGTTCTCTAACTGGTCCATGATAATTTTATTAATTTCTATATCATGACTTTCGGAAATTCCCGTAGAAGTTTCATATGGGTAGTTATCACTGGATTCATTTTCTATAACGACATTTTTGTTCGCACCAAAATATAATTCATTTATGTCACTATATTCTGCTAATGATCTTTTAAACGCTACATCTGCTTGGTTGTATAACTTTCCATTCTCGTAGTTCCACGATTGGTGAGAGGCATTCTGAGAAAAAGGGGGAAAAAAAAAAAAAAAAAAACAGGGAACACAATTGAGCAGTGAAATATGACGAGCTACAAACACGAAACCTCTCATACGGGGTTCATATATTTATGCACATAAATGTATATATACACGAACAGGATTGCGAATCCCTATTCTGCTGTGCACTCCTATTCTTCCGCAAGCTTACCTCGCGGGGGTTCTCAGGCGATTGCGATACCCATATCAAAACGACGCATGTAATCACTTTAAACAAAACAGGAAATCTATTCACTTTTTCCTTCGCGTCATTCTTTTTCACAGTGCTCTTATCTGTTCTGTTTGAAATGTTACTCATATGTTGATTATTCTTTCCATTATATGTAAATAAACTCCTACTGTAACGTTTATTTATCATTTTTATGGAATCCCTTTAAATGTGTAGAAAAAAAAAAAAAAAAAAAAATTCAAAGTAATTTGCACAAATGTTTCTGTAGACTCCTTCCTTTTGCGTGCTTCCACGTGTGCGAAGGCATGAACAAAAAATACTTCGAAAATGTTTTTCTCTCCTAACTTGTCATAAGACGGTACTTAAAAACATTTTATTAATTTATTAAGAAAAAAAAAAATTCATAGAATATTCACTTTGGTGAAGATGGGCACTACAAACCCAAGTTACAAACATGTGTGGGTGCACCCTATTCGTACGTGTTTTTATACAAATTCACATACGAGTAATTCTAGACGCACAGGTAACACACGCATGTATGGCCAACTATAGCCGCTTAATACTCGCATTCTTTTCCTTGCAAACTCTTCTTTTGCGAAAAAAAAAAAAAGGGAGATGCTAAAAGTCTGCCCAAATTGGAAAGGTACAAAATTGGCATATGTAAAGGTAAAACCGTGCGGTCAAAATCAGTAAAGATGAAATGTTATAAAAAATGACAAAAGCCCAATGCTAAATGTCAAAATCAAAAAACCAATAAGAAAAAAAACAAAAAGCAGTTACAAGTGAACTCTCAAGAATTGGCATATGTTTTCACTATGCAACTCTCTCCATATATATTACATTTCGAAAAAATAAAAAAACTAATAAAATTCAAAATCCTCTAATAACATAGGGTGAATTCAAAAAAAAAAAAAAGGCTTGTTCATTTGATCATCCATACATATGTATATATATTGTACATCTATATGTATAGCTCATTCTATATATATATATGTATATATATATATGCTATGGTATCAACATCCCTCCCTCTTTGCTTTGTCACTTCGTTTCGGTCATTGCTTCAATGTACGTATAAAAGCATCTAAAAGAAATGAGAGTCATGCAAAAAAGTTCGCATTTCTAGGAACTTATACATAACATCCAGCAAGTTGCGATTGTTATAAAATTGGAATTGTGACTTTATCACAAAAGAAAAATAAAATTTCGCAAACAATTGCCTTCTACGTTTTCTTAAAATTAACAGTACATGTAATTTTACTTCACAAAATTATGCTATAGAAAAAAAAAACAAAAACAAAAACAAAAAAAAAAAAAAAAAAAAAAAAAAAAAAAAAAAAAAAAAAGAGAAAACA